CATGGGCTCCAGTATCCTGAAGGAACAAATGGCGTATGAACCAATCGTTGGTCACCGGCTACCATGGGACTGCATCTCCTCACGATGCTCCACTGCCTTGTGGATCAGATCTTCAGGTCAAAGTCTCGGGGTGTGGCCCCCTAAGAAAACCAGCTGCTTCGGTTCGGGCACCCGGGCAGTATCACCGCCCTCACACATATCAAATGAGATTTGTGTGGCGCATATGTATTTGGTGCCTCCTTGTACCAATATCTATGTGTTAAAATAAAATGAGATAAACTAACCGAATTTCCTTTTCAGGTACCTCTAGAAAAACCCTTCCACAGTGTGGGCAACCGGGAAGTGATAACCACCCTCGTACCTCTAACAGCACTCAAGATCACTATTCATACCTCTAACAGGTGGTTTTCTTAGAGGGTCACTACCCGAGCTTTCAACCTAGAAGTCCAATCGTCAAAGCAGTGGAGCAGCGTTAGGAGATGTGGTCCTATGGTAGTCGGTGACCAACAACTGGTTCATACGCCATCTCAAGTTTCGGCGTATGTGGAAATCTATCAGTACAATTTGACTCGATTGTTAACTTCAATCAGCGGTTTGATATTATGTTGTTGACTGATGATCTGCTACACCCCCGTCGTATTCTGTAATGTAGCCGTCAAATATGACTAGTAAAGTCAAACATGGTGCTATGTGCATCTAACCAACAATCCCTATCAAGTAGTTTAGATATGATGAAACTATCAAGTAAGCAGCTTTGGGTAAACAAGACCTCATGTAATAAGTTAGCTCCTGTCGATTAAGATTGGTTATAAATACTTAGGGGACGAACCATGAAAAATATAGGTGTTGAATTAAAACAGCGCTATCATACAAAGCCACACTCATAGTATAGACCTTATAGTCATGCACTGTTTAGTCGGTTGCAGAACTACTTTCCTTCATACTTCAAACATTCAATACGCTGTTATTCTATTCTTATTCCGCAATTTTGGTGTACATCATAGCGGTTCCGTGGTACTGTTAGTATTGTTTTCAGTTACTAGGTTTTCTTATAGTTGATTTCGCATTCTTCATGTCTCATTGCTTATCTGTACAGTCTGTCTTTCTGTTATGGTTATATCTTGGAAAAATATCTCTAGTCAATTAACCTGACTGTTGATGCATCTAGAAAGCCGGCCGGTAATAGTCTGGTATAATCTTACTTAACTCACCATAATGGTATTATCTTCTTAAACATGATACTTAGTGATATTTCTTGTAGTAAGCAAGTTAATGAGAATCTATATCAACTTGCTGACATTGTTAAGTAATTAGACCTATTTGTCGTTTCACTATTGATATCCTTTTCCCCTCTGTCTTTTAACCAGATGCATCATGCCTGCGACGTGTGATGGTCTATACTGATGGTTCATGTAATGGTGCACATGATGATCGTCGTGCTGGTTATGGTGTTTACTGGGGACCCAATCATCCATGGTAAGCATCAAATTGGCTCTTATCATTCCAAGGAATGTCTCTGAGCGGTTAGAAGGAGAGCAAACAAATAATAGAGCAGAAATTGAGGTAAACTTTTATTTTGATAATAATTGCTTCTAAATATCAATCACATGTATTTAGAAAGTTTTCTGTAACTAGCTTATTATTAATACTGGTATGTAATAAAAGATGTTACCTTGAGCTTCAGGCCGTCAAACGCCTTCTCATAGTGAAAGAAATTAATGTATAGTGACGAATTCCAGTCAATTGATCCGTAGTGTCGCAACTTGGTCTGTGCACGATCGATTCTTACAGAGTCCAGCCTGTTGATCTCGAAGTTGGACGTCTACTGAATCTTCCACTCGGTTCAACAACACTCTGTTGAAAACTTTTCCTGGTACCGATAGTAGTGTGAAGTCTCTGTATTTCTCACACTTGCTGAGATCCACTTTCTTTGGTGTCTCGATGAGATATCCTTCTTTCCAGTCTATCGGCACTTGTTCTTCTTCCCAAATCTTCGTGAATAGAACGCGAAGCATGTTTGCAGTTACCTCTATGTCTGACTTCGGCGCTTCAGGTGGCATATTGTCAGGTCGTGCTGCTTCCTCACTGTTGATTTGTCTGATGGCCATGTTGATTTCTTCGACCGTTGTGCAATGACATCTATAGGAAGGTCTGTGCGTTTTGCTTCGATGTCTGGTGAATTCAGTGGGACTGATCTTTTCAAGAGTTCTTCAAAGTGTTCTACCTACCTGCCTTTCTGGTTCTGAATCTGAGTGATTGGCTTGCCTTCTTTGTTGTTGACCGGTCTCTCTGCCTTACCATATTTCCCTGCCAGTTTCTTCGTTGTATCATACAGTTGTCTCATATTTCCTTCTCTTGTAGCTTTTTTCCGCTGTCATTGCTAGGTCTTGCACATATTTCCGCTCGTCGGTTCTAATGCTCTTCTTCACTTGCTTGTTTACTTTTGTGTATTCGGTCTGTGCTTTGACTCTTTCTGTTCTTGTTCGGCTGTTGTTATTTTCTGTCTTCTTGTTCTTCCTTTCTTAAATCTTATCCAAGGTTTCAATAGAGATTCATTCCTTATGATGATGCATTTTGTGGTCCACCACCTAACACGTTGAAATTAGTTATTCCTTGTTTTTTCCCAGTTTTTCTCCATAGTAGTTTCTTCTTCCAGTATATCCTGTAAGGATTGGTAGCTGTTGTTGCGAGTTATCTTGAATTCGTTGAGTTTGTCAGTATATCGAAGAAAGACTGTACTGAACCGTTGTAATGCTGTTTTTCCAGTTGTCCATTGCTTTTTTAGCTTCAGTTTCATTTTGGCATCCACTTATAATTACTAGGTTGCAAATCTGTCACCATTCTCGTTCTTTTCTCACAGTCCATATCGTCCCTTGATATCTTCATGTCCAGTGTTGTTCATCCCGACTTTTGAGTTTAGGTCTCCCATCAGGATGGTCAGGTCCCTTATTGAGCACTTCGCTATGATCGATTGCAGCCTCTCATAAGACTGATCGTATTCATTGTTATGATTGGTGCGTTTGTTGTGACTCTATGTCCGGCTTTTTATCACGTGATTTATCTACCAATCAAAATACGACTCATGCAATCTTAGCACTGTGCCAAACCAATGACTTTCTACCGGTATGAGCAGCCTACCGTCCTTATTGGTCTTATGTTCGCCTAGCCCGTCCTCTTCAGTCCAGAACATAAATACCAGCTTCCACTATGCGAATCGAATCATTTATTTCAGGCATACTGGGTTTATGTATCAACCAAACAGACCGCAACGCACCATAAAATAGGGAATAACATTTGTACACAATAAAGCCAAAAAGTGGCTGTGAACGTGGGAGGCAATAGTTAATGAATTGAACATAGCTTAAGAACAGTAAATCGTACAATAATAAACTATAGGTCAAAGCAAAGCTTATAACAAAGGGGAATATAGATATACATAATCTAGTTACTGAATATTTATACCATGAGAATATATAAATAATATTAGTTCATTAATAGTCCTCGGGAGTTACCCGTAATTTAATCGTCACTAGGATATTACAAATAATGGTTAATTTTTTTTGTTTTCGTAGCATTCTGATTGGTTGTTTTAAGAGAACAGATTATGATACATAGCATGAGCCTTCGATCATTTTGGCAAACACATTAACTACTTTGGGGGAATCCTAGTTGGTGCGACACAATGAGCGAAGTAATTCGAAACAGAAGTTTTGATCTTGACTGTAATCATTGATTCAAACACTTTAATCATTTCAAACTAAGTCAATACAACTATTTCTGAATTGTTCTAAATAATAACATGAGACACTCATATAATTGTAACCAACACCATATCACTTAAACATTAGGTTGGAATTTATTGACTGATTAAATATTATTCTACTACATTCAGTTTATGATATACGTAAATGTAAATCCTATTTCATTAGTAAATAAACTGTCTCACTCTCAACATCACTGATTTCGCATAAGTCATAGTTTTCGATATTTTCAAATCAATTATAAAACACGAAAAACAAACATAGCAGAATAGGTACGAACAAACCAGATCCCAGCGAAGGAAGAAATCAGAAAGAAGTGCTGGAAGTGGATAGGACACACATTGAGGAAAGCACCCAACTGCGTCACAAGGCAAGCCCTCACTTGGAATCCTCAAGGCCAAAGGAAAATAGGAAGACCAAAGAACGCATTACGCCAAGAAATGGAGATACACATGAGAAGAATGAACAAGAAATGGATAGAACTAGAGAGGAAGACCCAGGATAGAGTGGGTTGGAGGATGCTGGTCGGTGGACTATACTTCATTAGGAGTAACAGGCATAAGTAAGTAACCGCTGTATTACATTGATGTAGCCCATGTGACAAATGTCCATCAGAGATTACCTATGAACTGTATTATTTAAACAAGTCTGTCTTTCACTTGTAACATTGCTTTTTAAATCAGTCTGGTCATTTCTGTAGATTGACATGGATTCTGTCATTTGTTTAGAATGTATATATTTATTTTATAATGATAGGAAATACATTTACATCATTATTCAGGGTCGGATTTAGATCACTCTTTGTTGGCACGATTATACCCATTATATCACAAGTTATCATAGGATAGATGGAATGTATATAGCATTGAAATCTAGATCATGCTTTTCATTCGGTTTGCGATTCGTCATACTTTGAATGTATTTATATCTCAGTGTTACTGCTCACTGATGCTTAGTACTGAATATTCAAACCCTTCCTATTATTAATGTATAAACATCATACCCACTGAAAAAGTTAGTAGATATTTATACTCAATAGTCCAGTGGACAACTCGATGGTGTACGTGAAGTGATAATTGCAACGCACAAATCTTATTGTAAGCATCAACACAGTGATGCAGGTAGAGCAGCTAGATGTCCAGCTGATAGGTTCTGGGGATTAGAACGTATAACACAATTCGTCTATTCCATATAAAAAGAGAATGATATTGCACAACATAATACATTACACACACTAACCTGGAGAAGAAGCTTGATAATTAATCAATTGTTCACTATCGAGATTACCGAAAACAGCAACATTATTATCATCATTTGTATTATTTTCACTGACATTACGTTCTGGTACAACAGTATGACAAACAGCTAAGATTGTGAAGAATTGATCAACTAATAAATCTCCAGTATTTAATTTATTAATTAGATTTTGATCTTCTAAAGCATTTGAATCTTCAGTATTATTACTAAACATGAAGACATAAAAGAAAACAGATAAGAAATGTAAACATTATACATGTGTGAGACAGTTTCTATTCGATTGTCACTTAATGTATATCGAATTTAGTCGATCATTTATGGTTAAGACAGAGTTTGAAATATATTTACGTTGATAATTTAAGTTACCACACCACATTAATAAGACGAGATGAACGTAACATGGTAAATAGCAAAAATGATAGAAATAATGTTTTGACAAAATTAATGAGAAGAGCTGAACGCGGAGAATATGCATCAAAAAGACAGATAAAAGTTATGGATGAACGAATAATGAAACTTAAGATCTTGAATGTGATACAGAGCAAATGTATCAGTGAAACTAAAAATACTAATCCTATGTAGTTATCATTTATACCATGACTTCATATAATTAGACTGAACATCTCTCTACTTTTCTACCCAGTCCCAGAGTCGAGAACAGATGCTTGGTGTGGAAGCTGCTGGTACGACATTAATAGAAGATTTGAGGAAGATAATGAAATATTTCAAACACATAGAAACGAAACAATTATGAGTAAGCTAATTAGAACATTGAAAACTGTATGGATTGCTATAAGATTTCAAACAATGATGAGATAAAATAAAATCCTCTCTTCAAATCTCCCGCTTAAATGTAAGCTACACAGCAATTGACCATTTAAAGACTGTTTTCAATTAGATGAAGGTATAGGGGGAAGGAGCGTTTAATTGATATTTTGTTTGAGTATCTTGAATCCTCAGAAATGAAAAACCAAGACACATGAATTTCGCGTCTCTTACGAAATTCCTGGAAATTCGTCGTAAAATCTGACTTCGATCCCTGGTGGGACTGTATGGGTGCGCGCCGAAATATAATAAAACGAAACAAAGGTCTAGTGTTCTTTGATTCTCAATGACACGGTTACATTCATGAAGAATACCAGCTAAAACTTAATTATTTTGTCAGAAGTAACATGTAATGATAAATTTTAATAGGTTAAATGACGAACTAATACTAGCTAGATCACCATTATTCAAAGCCTGGAAGCACTGGACAGCTATCGCGTCCTAGTATGAGACTCAGTAGTGTGCATCCATGATCCTGCATCAGAGAAACGAACTCAGGAACAAGGACAATAAAGACACTTACCCATACATAATACCACCAATTGAACATCTTTTGAACTCCATCACATTACGAGTTAACGTTCCGGTCTTATCAGAGAATAAATAACGAACCTAAAGAAATGACAAATGCAAAACGTCAAGTGTTTGTCCACAGTAATAATATACATGTATTTGATACAATATTAAGGATATTAGAGAAAATATGTACACAGGATTCCCAGTTTGGTGTGCTATTTATGTCGACATAAGTAGTATATTACATCAATCATAAATGGAATACCTGGCAGAAGGTTGGGAAGATCGAATCAAACACAACGGAAACAGAGAGCAATTGCTGTGATAATGAAAGAACAACAAAGCTTGAGATAATTGATGGAAGATTAGCAAATGAAGTATTGAACGTATGGTTTTCACATTTTAACAAAATACTCTGTAATTTTGTATTAAAATACAACCAGTTATTCCCACCTGTGTTCTCGTTCATTACATTGGCTTTGCTAAATATTTCTCAGTAGAAATACATTTATGTTTGCGGGAGTTGATGGAAATCATCCATTTGTATTTGATGTGAAAGATTTTTAAGGTATTTTGGTGGATGGCAATTTGATTGCAAAAGTATGGTTGATGTACATGAATCTGTCACTTTGTATAATAGTTAATAATAAATTATACGCAACATAATATCCGGATATAAATATTCATTGATGTCAATTATCACAAAGCATAACAACACGGTCAATAAATTGACGGAGAACATACGTTGAGAAGTACTAATGATACTTAGGAACAAGAAAGTATGGATGTCAAACTTGAAGATGAAACAGAAAACAAAGAGTGGATATAAATTATTGACACTGAAAAGTCATGAATCACATCATCTAAATATCGTTACTGATAACGAATTCAACGCGAACTTCAACTTGGAGAGTTTAAACCTACAAATACAGCTTAGTTCACCCGACTGACCACCAGACTAATGTCGCTGTGCATTCATTTGACAGTAATCAGTTCTTCACTCATGAGTATTTAATGTTAGTGTAATTAAACGCTCATATAAACTATACTAAGGATATTAATAATCTTGTTTATACTAACACTCACGGAATTGCAAATAAACACAAGAGGCAAAATGTGAAAAAGTCATAAACATTTTTTTACTATCTACTTAGAATTGTTTTAACTAAAACAAAAACTTCAAATATGTACACTTCATTAAATCAACGTATTATTTGATTAACATCTTACAACATATTCAACTTATCTGGGAAAAATGATGAACAAAGTTAACAGTAGGTGATGATATTCTTTATTGATTAAAATTTAAGGTACTGTTGGACTAAACGGCTATTTTGTCCAAGTGTGGAGCTCCTCATCAGTACGCAAGCACAACCCCACCAACAATCAAACCCAAAAATACGACCGTATTCAATGATAAACAGTTTACAATATAGTCCGAAGACTATCACACAATACCACTGGTGATGTTTTAATGTAGACGATATTTTCAAACATCATATGGATTACGATTTTTGGTTCTGGTAAATTAGTGGTGATAAGACGGGATGGGAAAGAAAAATTACGTTGTGTAATCACTTTGATTCTTGTTCTCTGAGAACAAAATGCCATCAAGCTCATTAATAAATAATTCAGTTATTAGTAGATTATAGAGTGATGGCATCCACTAATTCGATAGGAAAAAACTTGAAGTTCACTTACACAACTACATTTACAGGATTCGATCAGTATAATACAAACACAGTATTCATCATCACTCAGTGAGCAATTAGTATGAACATTGGTTACACAGCGATTCAATCGAATCCCGAATAGCTCAGTAGTAACGACTGTGAAGCTCGCACAAGGGTTGTTAGGACGCCTTGTTGACGAGTGTCTATCAGCACAAAATCCAGGTTAGAAACGGTTCAAAGCAAACTACCTGTAAGCACCTAATGTGGTGTGCTACTGATGTCGAAAAATATAATTAGTATGTATCACCAATCGAAAGTGAAATGTCTGGCTGAAGAAGGAAGGAGAACGAGAACAGAGAGTGATTGATATGAAAACGAAGGAACAATCAAGTCTGAGACAATTGATTGACATTTTGCAAATGAAGTATTTACTATATGGTTCTCAGATTTTACCAAGATACTCTGTTATGTTGTTTTGAAATACATTTGGTTGTCTTGCATGTATTCTCGTTCACAGCACTAACACCAACTTCACTACACATACACACAAAATAAAGTACAAAATATTTCTGATAAAAGATATGCGTAGTACTGTGAAAAAAACAGGGGTAGAAGGAACAGGATCACACACACGTACTTGACCTAATTCTTCATTTAAATTAGAGGTACGTGCCATAGCTGGTGTATCCGAATCCGGATCATACATATCCAAATCCTAAGAAAAAAGGAAATTGAACCAAAAGTAATAAGCGAGAACTTTAGAAATACGAATAAATCAGCATGCTTTTTCATGTTAGTATATATATTCTCTTATTTGTATAGTGAAACTACGAATATCAGTAAATGAAAGGAAAATCAAATAACACAACGCAAGCCTCATTGATATAATATCAATTATTCTTGGAAATGATCGGTTAAGCAGATCAAATCACTTGAAACATTGAAGTTGAGGTTAAAAAAGGCAAAATTATACTGCTGAAAACTAGCTGAAATTATTTACATAAGAACAGTAATATATATAATTATGAATACATGAACAATTCATATAATGAACATCACTAGTGATTAAGCATAGATTAAATATAGTTGGGCTAATTTTCTTTTCCAAAGGTGAATCTACCTAGGGGAGAAAACTTTTGTAACCGACTAACAACCAGAGAATATGTGAAAAACATAAAGGGATTAGACGACAGGACAGTTGTTCCAATCCGTAGTTAGATTATTGGCATTGTTCAGAAATCTATATGCATGAGCCCAAATCTCGCTTTATGGAAGAGTATCACTGTTGTATTAGTGTCACAGAGAAACTGAAGAAAATATAGCACTCTTTCACATCAGAGAATGAGTTTTGACCTACGCCAAAGGAATAGATTAATACTATAATATTGTTTACGACACAATAGTCAACTGTAAATATTCCAGACCCACATGATGTTATTCACAGCGAGAATAGCTCAGTGGTAACGCCTCGGATTGTAAAGTAGGCTTACGTGGGTCTGAATCCATCACAGTGAAACGGCTTAGGTTAGATATACATTGAAAATCTGAAAATGCTGAGCAGCTATCTCGTCCTAATATGGGACTACTCAGGAGTGAGCACCCATGACTCTGTCACAGTGGATCTAACCAAACGACGTCAGTTTTGAGCATGAACGCTTAACTGATCTATAATTCTACTTCCAGTCAATTAGCGATATCTCGATACCATCTTCCATTGTTTTTCGTGGATAGCTGCCCAACATCCAACACGATTAAACTCCGCTAATCAGAGTTTCTCACTGGAACTCCGAAAATTCTCTTTAATCTAATTATAAGTGAGTTTGATCAAGAGGAAGAAAAAACTGGGTGAAACTACCAGTATGATAAGAAGAACCAGTAGCAAAATCAACGGAAAATGGTAGCTGACTGATGAGAATCTATCAAATATTTGTATAAGAGTCTAGTTGCATTCTGAAGATGATGATGTCAGTAAAAGATGACAAGTGAGCTAAATTCATAAAACATTTCTCTACAAACAACCATAACAAAAACGTTGAAAGACGAAGTAACTGACAACTTCCACGGATATTTTGAAAATCTAAACATGGACAGGGCAAGATTATACACAGACGGGAAAGTATTCTAAGTGAGATAAAACCTTCCTACTTTGAATTTTGGATGGGCCACGTTTTATAGAAGTGTAATACTTTAACATGAAATTTCATTTTAAACGAGTTGCCTTCAATTATCGACTGTAACAAATGTCATGAACCATAGCACAACGCAACACCCCTGATCAAATACATAAATATATGAAGGTTGAAATATAACTCTACATGAAACGTATGACATATGAAACAACTGTTCTAGCTTCTAATAATTGGCTCAGCAGTCTAAAATTTGAGTGTTCACCACAAGACCTAAAGGTCCAAGTTATAATGCCCTTTAAGAATGTAGATTTACAATGGTGAAGGATCCATACGAGGACAAAACAGCTGATCAGTGCTTCATGGAGGTAAGTGGTTCTCTAATTAAGATTTAGTCATAATTCAATAGTTTCAATAAATTCATTTTGTACCAATAACTTCGACTTTTACGAATTTGTTGCAAAAGAATAGCGCGATTTAAAAGTGAGATTTGTCGAAATTATAAAATTTACTGCAGTATACATCACAAACTCATCTTAGCTAAAGACTAACATTGAGAACCCTGAAGCACTAGTCGGTCGCTTCGCCCTGATATGGGACTCCTCACAGTGCAGACCTACGATTCGGGCGCGGTAGCGAAGGTCCTACGTTAGGTTACGTATGTGGGGACGTGAATGCACACACTAGGACGGGAGTCGTCTAGTGCTTTCAGATTTTCAATGGTGATTTAGTTGAGTTAATATATAAAAAATGAATTAATCTAATTATCACTGTATGAAAGCAAAAGGATTGTAGAACATCAACACTTAGGCAGGACTATATGTATGATAATAACAGAACAATAAAATAACCCATAGTGTCATTGAATAAAAGAAAAGAGAATTCAGCGAAGTAAATGATTTCGTCGGAAAGAAAATTTTGTTCGCTGAATTCTTTTTCTTATTCAAGAACCATAAAAATACAAACTTTAGGGAACATTCATTTTTTTATAAATGATTCATTGAAATAATATTGTACACTACATGTCATATGATATTATGGAATATTTAAGTAGTAAGTAGGTAGACTTTGATTCACAGAAATTGATTATTTGAGTCACTTATTCATGGTCAAAAGGTGGAAAAAGTTAACATGAGATGAATTAAGTATTGATATTCTATGGAATTGATGAACGACATAAGTTAGACCTGGAACACGGTGATGGACATCCACAAGGCGAAATCCGAGAATCGGAACTCAGGCCCTGAGGGCAGGTCGTGGATCAGCACTGCTAGGGAGCTACATACTAGAATGAACTAGACGTGCTTCCCGGTTTGAGTTTGTCGTCTAACTTAGAATGATTCGTAATTCCAATGAAAGTTCACCATCTCCACAACCCCATAATGACAATTATTGACAACTGAAGAATGAATGAAGAATATTCTTTTCGGCCCTCTGCAGCTATATATTCAAATTAAGGGACAATCAAGGGAGTGGATGGATTAATAAGGAGAAACCGAAACTAGAAAAGTACTTGGATGAGTCAATACACAAATTTTCTTATTTTTGTTTCTCTATAATATAAACGAATCTGGGTAAGAGACATCATTACAGAATCAAGGAAACATACTCCTCTGATACAATTGAGTAATACGATAAACGATAATGAATGCCCTGAGAAATTGTATAAACAAGCACAGTCAGGAAAGGAGGACATAAAGAAGTTCTAACAATGAGCGAAATTCCCTCTTTATGCGCTTACGATTGAGAGAAGACGCGTCCAAACGATATTTTTATCTTAAACCTGGAAATTATTTGGATTATTAATTTGGATATTTGACTGCACAGTACCTGAAAACAATATTCTTCGCTCGATATATGTGTTTTTAATCATTTATTTAACAGAAGGTACGCGCATATTCACGTTCGTCGCATAGGACTGTGATGTCGACCAACCTAAGGCTCATAAAAACACATGTTTTAAATCGAACCTCTAGGTATCTTTTCAACCTATGATAGCATAAACATGCCAGCTAGCAATAGTTATAAAGGACTATATCAGTAGCTACATATTATCGATCTGTCGACAGTACTTGCCCACGAAATTGAATTGCATAATGTTAATGTACATTTAATAATTAATAATAATAGTAATAATAACAATAATGATAATAATAATAATAAATCTTTAAGAATTATTGGAAGATAAGTCAGTGGATGGTTATTTAACGAAACAGTTAGAGGTATGTGTGCAAACGAAAAATTCTTATATTAAGCATATATTGTCTTATTCTTGATGTAAATATCAGCTAGGTAGTCAATCGATTCGAAAGAATATTCCACAGAATACTCAAATAAAAGACTTTAAATATGTTTATGTCGAATACAAGAATCAACTAAGGAGGATATCTCCGACAGCAAAAATCTATAAATTAACACTAGGAGAACACATGAGAAAACACATATGTATAATGTTGAGTAAAAAAATATTGACATTTGTTTTGGGATACAACAGCGTAGTGCAATTCAAGAACAAGGTGTGGGTAGAAAATAGTAAACTAGATGTCTAGAGTTTTTAGTGATAACAAGAAGACTCGCATCACCACAATAACAAATATTAGCAGAGCAGTGAGAAGAATAATGAAGAACAAATTAAAATACACGGGATAAAAAAAGTATAACCCGATGACGGATAAATTTAAACCTATATACACACAGTTCAGGTAAATAACAACATTTAGCAAAGTTCATGTAACTAATGTTTTATTGTTCTTTTTTTATATTGCAAGGTATGATTACTTTAACGAACAAGTATAATACCTACGAATCGGTGATCGATCAAGGTTTACACGTCCATCAATTAATGATTTTATTCCGTTACTTAATGAAGATAAACCGAGCGTGAATTGTTGTTGTCCATTTGCACTTACGAGTCCTATGCTAAGATGAAAAAGCTCACACTCTCGGAGTTTTTCAATGATGCTTTAATTGAGGTTTGATCTCTGTAACGAGTACAACTGACAAATTGAAATCAACTTTCACAAAAATTTATTTAATTAAATTAAACAGAACGTTACATTATTAGTCAACATCATCTATTCTTCAACATATCACGACGACGTTATTGAAGACCTTTTTTAAAATTCATTATAATTAATTTTCACCCGACAAGGGGTGTGGCCCCCTAAGAAAACCACCTGCTTCGGTTTGGGCACCCGGGCAGTATCACAGCCCTCACACAAATCAATTTTGATTTGTGTGGCGCATATGTATTTGGTGCCTCCCTGTACCTATACTTATGTGTTAAAATAAATAATAATAAATAAAATCACCCGACGAAATATGAGTAAATAACATTTTAAAAAACTTAAATTATTTTTAGTACAGATTGGCTGCTAATCACCGATAACACCATGAAATACTGTCATGCTTATTGATCGAAGTTCGGAATATGAGCCAGTTTATCTCAACTCATTAAATTGAAGGTAATACATTTGTCGCTGGAACTAAAAATCTTAATTTCCATACATGGAATTTCATACAACTTAAATGAAATACGTATACAATGACCCCTCATCTTGTCTAATGATATTTTATCATCAACCTTAACCCCCGGCTGATATTGTATCCGTAACAATAACAAAACGAACTACTTTTGTGGAGGAATTCAGGGTTCAAAGAAAAAAATCAAAATATAATGAGAATGACAACGAAACACTTCAATTCTATGACATACACAGCTTAGTAATAATGCTTGAACTAAACGCACAACTTCCAGACAAACTTGTAAACTGATCGGTACCATTGTATGGTACATGATGAATGATGTAATTAACATATTAATTGCATAACGTAGAGTTGTTTCATCTAGTTTTATTTAATTGTAGAAAATATAATAAAAATAATTTCATTGGAATTTGTCATTAGTACACCAAAATTAAACAACCAATAAACGGATATGTATACGAACAACAGAAATAAACGTTATGCAGGTAAATTTTACACAATTACAATCAAGTATTAGTGTAATGGTTAATTTAATAGACACACACACATACACAAGGGATGGGATAATGATTCGAGAGGAAACATACGGTGTGTGGGACGGGAGGCAAAGACCACACATCAGTAGGTGATATATTCATATTACAAAGAGAGGAAGAGTGAGTGGACAGGGCATGTACAAGAGCATACGCAGAATAGATAGGTAAATAAATAGATACATGAGACGTTTCGGGTCACAATCACCCCACACACAATAAAACACACATACAGACATATAAATAACAGATATAATGAACATAAGTTTAAGTGCAGAAACGAAACGGCAAAACATGGATAAAGTCAGATACGGGGTGAGCAGCAGACAACAACAGAAGCCAGATAGATGACGGCCACAGCGACGACAACAGCAGCGAAAACAAACACGATGTGTAGTATATGTGTATGTACAAAACATAAAACGAAGAAAACAAAATAACATAAAGGAGTAGCGTTTAAATGTAAATATATACGGAGGGAAAAACATTAGAAACAAAACACAGACGACAGCGACAGAAACAGCGTAAAATCAAGTGTGATCCAGGACACGGCCGTGTATGCATGTAGCGTGTTTAAGCACACACATAGGGCATGTTTTTTGTTTTTCAGACATACAATTGTAGACGAGCAGAGAAGATTGGCATTTTTTACATAGAAGCAGAAAGGAAGAAACAAAACAAAGAGAGAGGTATAGGCGAAAAGCACGCAATGACGAGAGAAAAACAATTAATAAACGATACTGCACACAATGGAGCTACAGTAAATATTTTTTACTTAGTATAAAAAATGTAACCCGATCAAAATGTTGTACGAATCAGGCAAATAAGAAAACTACTCACCCAATTAATATACAATGCTTGGATAAACCGTACAACTTCAAGCATCACTGGCAGACTGATTGGTATGATGGTGTTATACAAAATGAGACAGGTGATAAAATCCAGTAAACGTCGAAGATCGCTTCTAATATCAACTATAAATAAATATATAATATAATCACAGACAAACGAACTTCGGGCAAAAAGGTGTGGATGGGCGAGGATCGTAGTGAGAAAATGTGGTTAGCCATAGGATTTACCTCGCTGATCGGCTTCTGGTAAGAATATTGTTGTGATTTAACCTATATCGCAACGCTTAGCTTTATAAAATTCGATCATAAAACACCCTACATTATTAAATCGTATCCTTGATGCTTATTCTTTTCTATTATCAATAATACTGTTAAATCTACTTCTCTGAGATTTGCCCTCAAAATTTTATCGCGCTGTGCTAATGAGGTACGGCAACTTGAACCGATGTACACATTTACCAGGTTCTACGTAGCGTATGATTGGTTGACTGAGGACTTCAGATCAATAGAATGGTATTTAACCACATTAAGCCACCCATAAAGGTAATGGATAATAAACGTTCGACTTGTTCACACAATAAGAATTACGCTAAACTGAAGCAATATCTATGAACAAGGTGTATAAACACATACACGAAATACAAGGAGAAACTTGGATGAAAGACTAAGAATGACATTTCTCGTATAATGAACCTTAAAAAAGTTGATATTATTCTTCTATTGTACAGTAACGCATAGACTGAAACGCTCTGGTGATTACACTCGTGTTTACAATACGTTTCTCAATGTATGTGTTTGTCAGTGAGTAAGCAAGACAGAGAACATTTGCTTTCCAATGATCAGTATGTGGATTAAATATTCCAAACCAATGATACTCTCATTATTGTTGAGGCCCTCGTTTTATTAGGTGAGAACCAATTAATTTACAATTTGACCTTGAAGATATAAAAAAGTAGTGTACGCAATTGGTATGTCGATCACATGTGATCCAGGTAATAATTCAATCTAAATTTATACACCACTAGTAGGATATCATGTGTTAGTTTTCTTTTATGATTGTTATTTAGTTTGATGAAATAATAGAATGAGATTTTATTGAATCACAATATCATTTACATTCATGAGTAAATGCATAGTCGTTTAAAATTGGAAAGTATTTGAAGCACATATGTGTAATATTTAGAAAAAGGTGTTACAAAGTTATTAGTATTTGATAATAGATACATTTATGACACGCTTTATGCGTTACATTCAGGGAACAACGTAAATCGATCGATGAGATGGTGAATCTCTATCAACTGAAGTGGTTATGACATGTATTACTTATGTGCAGCCACCGCCTCCTTCGTTAACTAATGTTAACCGATGTAGTAGACTGGAAGAAAGATAGTTCCAAACACACCAAGATATGGCATCAGTCTAAACAGTAAACTACTTCTAATATGAACGATTTCCACTAAAGATTATTTCAGTTTAACACATTAGAGAAATTGGTCAGTGTTAGGAGGATCTGATGTGGATGTCGAGCCACGAATTGATAAAAGGTAGTATTGCTATAATTGAAGAATATCTAGAACTCAAGAGAACTGTCAACAAAGATCAAAATCAGCATTTTGAACGCTAACGTTAAAACAGTGGTATTATATGTACAAAACTTTTTGTGGTTAACTGTAGTATTCGCTATCAAAGACAATAATGGCAGGACTATTAGCTGACTATCTCAAAAAGATAAAAGACATCTCAACACCTACTCTAAACTAATGTCAATGAGAGGACGTGTATAATCCATCATATCTTATAAGTCAAAAATTTTATCAGCTGATCTTTAGTTATATCAACTTCTTTAAAGATCAAAATACAAATTAATATTCCCTTTATCTTTAAGAACTATCCCTGAAAATTTGTTCAGACACGAATCTTAACATCCAGTTCATCATTGTTATGGGATAAATTTCCAAGTTTTACTACTAATAACACAGAGGTCGAGGGTACTTGCCTGTTATCCCTCGTGGAGGAGCATAGGCGACTCACCAACATTCTCCATCCAACTCTGTCCACGACAATCCTTTCCAGTTCCTATTCATCCTTTTCATGTCTGCTTCCGATACACGACGCAATCTATTTACAATCCAATCAACCACCAGAGTAAGGAGGAAGGGGGAATGTAAGCAGACTCCGTCCTTGAATCTCAGTGATTGGCTTACCTTTTTTATCCTTGACTGATCTCTTGGGTTTACAATATTTTCCAGTCAGTTTCTTCGTTGTGTCAAATGGTTGCTTCATATTTCCATCCCTTGCAGCTTTTTCCGCTATTGTTGCTAGTTCTTCCAGGTATTTCTGCTTAAAGGCTCTAATGCTCCTCTTCACTTCCTTGTTTGCTCCTGTGTATTTATCTTGTACTTTGGCTTTCTCTGTTCTTGTTTGACTGTTGTTAATTGCTGTCTTCCTCATTTCTTGAATCATGTACAAGATTTTCATAGAGATCCATTCCCTATGATGGTGCTCCATGCGGCCCAGCACTTCCTGACACGATGAAGTTAGTGTTTCTTTGATCTATTTCCAATCGTTCTCCATAGTAGTTTCCTCTTCGTTTAGTAGATCCTGTAAGGCTTGGACAGAGTTATTTTGAATTCGTTGAGTTTGTCAGTATCTCAAAGGAAGGTTGTATTGAACCTTTGTAATGCTGTTTCTCCAGTTGTTTGATGCCTCTTCAGATTCAATTGCCTCTTGGCCACAACCAGGTGGTGATCTGAAGCCATATCAGCTCCTCTCTTGGTTCTCACTTGTTCCACTGTCCTTCTGAATTTTTTATTGACACAAATCTTATGTATCTGGTTCAATGTAGTGTGATCCGATGAAACCCATGTAGCTTTATGTATGTGTTTGCTTGGAAATATTATTCCGCCTATAACCAATTTTTTGAATGCACATATATTTGCAAATATCTCCCCACTTTTCTCTCTCCCAGTCCATGTCGCCTCATGATATCATCATATCCGGTAGCGTCAATTCCGACTTTGGAGTTTAGATCTCCCATCAGGATGGTCAGGTCCTTTCTTGGGCACTTCTCTATGATTGATTGCAACCCCTGAGTAGAACTGATCTTTGTTGTTGTAGTTACTACCAATGAATAGCATTCATTGTGATTTCCTCTCTCTTTGTTTTGAAGGATGCCTTGATGATCCTGGATCCATGAGATTCCATCCTATAAGTGAGTTACATGCTTCTTTGGACAGTATCAAAGTGAATCACTGAGTGTATGGAGCATTTTCTTCGTCATGACCGGAGTAGAGCAGCATCTCTCCTGAATCCAATATTTTTTGTCTAGCTTGGGTCTAATGGGTTTCACTAATTCCGAGCACCGTCAAGTAGTATCTCCTCGTTTCCGTTGCTATTTAACTGTACCTCCCGGAATCGCATATTGTCCGGATGTTCCATGTACCTATAAAAACTGTTGGTTTTTAGAAGGGACTTTCGAAGAATTTCGGCTTTTATCATGAGGCGTCATGATTCTAACTTGAACTCACAAGACAGAGCTTAAATGTTTTAATTTGTTCAAACTGGTTGGCGTTTGTCTAGCAAGCTTTTTTTCTAGGGGATGGAGTTGCCGAACCCATGCCCAACACCCCTCATTTACGCGGGCTCGGTATCGGTAGTAGCTCTAGAAGATCTACAGGCGGAGTCGAAGGTACAGTATATCTTAAACGTCAGTTTTAACTGGTACCCGTCTAATTATCAATTTATAAATCGATTAAATATCTATTTCAATGTAAACAGTTTCATATATGATATCAGTATAAAACATGGAATGCTGTTTAAAACCATTTCACCAAAATAATAATAACTGTGATGGTAGAAATCCTCAACGCGTATCAATTTGAAAGATACATAAATTCGCTAACATATAGGTAGTGAATTTATAGGTAGTAATTTTGTGTGATCTAGATACACCAATAAGCGAGTTTAAATTCATATTTTGAGTGTAGAATGTATGTATTACTTCTTATTAACGGTTATCAGGGTGATTGATAAACAAGCCTAAGGATTTATCTCGAAGCCAAGACACCACAACTTCATGAATGACCCAATTATTCAGACTGATCGATTATAACTCAGTAATCAAGTACATGAGTGTATAAACTCAGCTCCAAGTCATAGACCTTGGTGCAGAATATTAACTTAGATCATCACCTGGTTGGCTAAACCTATATCGGTGGAACATCGTTCGAACATTCAACCCAATCATTACCAGCCACTTTCATGGAACGTGAGCAAACACACAGCAGTAATCTTTACCACTTAATGGTTTGAATTTATTTACACAACAGAAAATGGATTATTTTCAGAAAATAAATCAATCATGTCTGTATAGAGGTTCTTTGGAAGTAAAACAGTTTGGTAACTATACAATTATGAGACATTCCATATTCACAAATTCACTAGATAGATACATTGTGTGCTATTTTTTGCAATGTAAACAAACAATTCGATTGCTTATTGAACAAACTATTCACAACGCATCTTATGCAGCGATCATGTGAAGAGTGGTGGACAATGGGTAAACACGTGTAAAAAATTTTAATATCTAGGATTTCATTTCAGTCATCTAAAACTATGTATATGTCTTCTGTGAACGTATCTTAACTTGCTCGATGAATAAAGTAAATAAAGTTACAGTTCTATTTCGAACCCTTCAAGGGAAATCATGTTTAAATGCAGCATCACTAACCAAATGAATGGGAAAAGTGCTGGATATTACACATTGAGAGGCATATGCTCTACAAATTTATGGACGTGTATCCAATTTCGTAAACAGTGAAGATCAAAAAGTACACCCAGACATTACTATTAAAGTCTTCGATTCAGTCTAAAACTTCTATTGGTTAGCAGATTCAATCGTCAACAAAGAATTAATTTTTTCAGTGTTAAATAGAACTTTACACAATAACATAGTGAGAAAATTGGAATTTGAATAGGATACATATATACATAATCCCATGGAGTAGAAAATGAACAAAGATTTTGACAAAAAATCTGAACAGCTGTTTGTTTAGTGTTCCTCTTTACGTTTCGATATTCCCCTTATTAATATCAGGCAGTTCATGATAATGGTTGCGATAGTAATATTATATCTTCAAGTTGGATACAGTGAGTTTTATGGCATGATTTCGAGGTGATTTGCATCACGAACTGACGTTACCGTCATACAATTAACATTTTGACCCAGTTCATAGCATCTTGAGAATGAGCTCACATACACGACTCTATAAACAGAGGATCGTATTCACAACACGTCTATTTCGTAACAAGCAAGATAAACTTATACTGATGCGTTGAAATCGCAAGGCATTAATTTTTTAACTTCATTTCAGCCCAACATCAGATATCACTGGCAAGCTACGCACTCCCAACGTAGCGATTTGAGATCGTGAATTCTTTTGTTGACGAGTATTCATTGCTGTATAATTTCGACAAAATATAAAGTGGATCCACTGGTATTTTAACTGATGTCAATATTTCCATAAGAAAACCGATTTTCAGGGAAAAGCATCTTTAAATCCATAAGGATTTTCACTGGAAAACTCATATAAATATCAACGATAAACATAAATAGGTCTATCAACCAAAAATAAATTAAATCACCATTAAAACGTACACACATACCATTTTCTTGTAGATACCACATTTTTTTCTCATTCCGTGATGTCCAAACTAAATTTGCAATAAACGTGAACAAGGTCAAGAAGAGCAGTACACCGAACAGATATAAGATCTAGAATGTTAAGAAAGAAAAAAAAAGCAAGATCGATAACGATGCTGACATGATAACCACATAACTATGTCGTGTGAATGAAGTGTGTAAATAGAAATATCCATTCAATAACTTGTAATAACAATAATAATAAAATCTTCTTGTATAAAACACTTATGACTTAACTAGTGGCCCAGAGTACAACATAAATCAATATTATCCATTTCTAATGGATATCCTAAAACAGCCCTGTAAAAGGTCACTGAAGTCGACATTATTGAACAAAAAAGAAATGAACTGAGACAGAAGTATTAAGTAGAATGTTGTAGAGAACACAACAAATAATTCATAATTTCAAGGACAAGTCAGAAACAAAAAGAAAAATGGAAACAATGCGTTATATATCCACTACTGTAAATGAATAAGCTATTCATTTTATTTATGAGTTAAATTTCTTGACTTTGCATAAATTGATTTCATTGAGTCTAAAATCGTGCTTCAAATCATTGATGCTATTGATAATTCGACTCGATTAGATATAACACACTCAGTCAATCTCATTTTATTATATTGATGTAGCGTAACAAATTGAGCTGATTTATGTTTGTATCACAGATTTAACGTTGATTATAACTGACTGCTTGAAATAACTGTAGACCATATGTTTCAAAAGCGATAATCTAACGGTTAAAATATATGACTTGGATACATTGGACTGTTGGTTCGAAATTTGTTGAGACTACGCCTCATATGTACAAAAGTACGCATCAAGGTTAAGCACATAAATCGATACTTGATCACTAAAATGTTAACCTGTTTACGTCTTCCACCTCCAACACTAATATAAATTAGGAAAAATTAATGTTTAAAAGATGAAACTGTTAAGGAAATATACTTGTGTACCATACACGATGAACAAGTGAGTGAATATACGGGAACGGTAGCTCAATTGATAACGTGCTTGGTATCTAAAGAGAAAATTGGTGGATTCGAAACCCAATGTGAACACTAACAACACACTAAGAGTTTGAGGTACAGCCAATCGATGAGTCACCAGTACGATGAAATCCGCGTCCCGGATTTCTTTGCTAGTCACAAACTATTTGTCATATAAGTTTGCTCTAAGTTATTGTTTTACACTATTTGTAAAACTTCTAAAAAAGAAATTGAAAACTGGACATTTTGAGAGAGGAGGAAAGATGAAAGAAAACAGAACAAGTCTACTCACATAGGTATTAGTTTGACGTTCAACTGTTGATCGTTTTAAAGGAGCTGCCGTTGAATTCAACATCACTTTAGATTCTTTACCTGTATACACAGTTAAACCTGTAAATGACAAAAGTGGAATGGATAACAATAATAGTAGCATATTCTGGTTAAACATAATGGTGTTTAAGCACATGAGTACATCATATAAAAAAGCAGCAGTCTAAGTAAATTCACACAGACAATGATTGGTTGGAGTGGAAAGAAAGCGAAAGACTCATACAGACTAACAGTAATTTGTGGTGAGAAGGGAACTTACCAAAAATCCATTTTGTATTCTTTAATGATGCACCTCGTAAAATTAATTGTGTTGGATTTAAAGGATGTGCTCTACAAAATGAAATGTAACAATGCAATAATCTCAATGATATATTTTTTAAAAAAGACAAATACTATTAATCAAAATGACGACATTCAAGCAATATCGCAAACTGATTTAAGTTAGAAATGTAAACTATGAGATTCACAATCCAGTGAAGTAAAGCTTTTTTTTCTACTGAAAGAAATTTCTGTAAAATTATCTTATTAGCGATATCGTATACCTAAATGGTACAATCGTATTTATGGGTAGTGATTTGTTTACAAGTGGTAGTAAGGTATTGGCGTGTTACAAAATTATCAGGGATAATTATAATTCCTATTCAAATATCAAATGTAAAAGTCTATGCAGGAGAAGTGATATTGCATCATTCAACAAAGTTATCTAATATTATCAAGAAATGAAGTTGTGTAATAGTGTGGAAGTAAAATGAAGCAAAATTTAATAAAAATAAATGAAAAAGACAACCGTCTACTGTGTGCTGTCAAACGAAGCAAATCAATGAAATGTGAAGTTAACAGAACGAACTCAAACATGCTTTAGTGAACTAGAGTAAACACAAAACACATAGATGACATATTTGAATAATAAATTAGTTGAACAATATTAAAAGAATAAGTTCGTAATAAATTAAAAATAACACATTCTAAATCGATGCACACTTCTATAGTATTTAAGTATTTGAGTTACGTCAGTGTTTTTCACCTAAAAAAATATATCTATACCTCGAGAGGATCAATATTGTTTGAGATTGACTTAAGTATAGAAAATTTCAACGATATCACGAAATCCACTTAAATAACAAAATTTTACAAAACCCTATTAATCTAACATATTAATGACGAACTACAAGTCAAAGAGTATGATGTAGGCTGAAAGTTAATTATATAGTTGATAAGTATTTAGTCACTCAAGTACTGATTAGTAGATTCTCTAACATATTTTCAAATGTATCTAGTTCACATGGGTTTGTGTAGACCATCTCTACTTTAGTTTCGCGAAATCATCGTAACTAAAAGTTAAAATCTGCGTGATAAGGCGGCTAAGAAGCAGTCACAATGCCTCAGATTTATTCACTCTTAGTATTTTCCTTAAATCTTAAGTTTTCAAATTATCTCATACCACGTATTCTGTATGTGTTTATTCACCTCAGATCATTGTCCGTGTTTAACCATTATTAACATGTTACTACTTATACGACTCTAGTAACTGACATGATAATATTATCTCGCCGTTTTTGTGTTACGGCCAATTGAACAGACGGGCATACGTATGTAGTTTTATAATACTTATAGCCAAAGGATCTACTTCGGTTTCATAGTCTATAAAGATGCATCTCATTACTTTGCTTCACTGTCTTGTGGATCAGACCTGAAGGCCAAAGGCTCCGAGTGTAGCCCCCTAAGAAAACCAACTGCTTCGGTCTGGGCGCCCGCGCAGTATCACATCCTACACAAATAAAATGAAATGAAAATTAATACTGGGAATACTCTTCTCGTTAAATTGTGTCAGGGTGTTGAAGCACTGACTCCGATGGCTTGTTCACGTTTACGAACTTCATCTCGTTGCTGTTCGCGTTATGCGTTATCTGACGAACCTGATTGGGTAGGAAAAGCTGAAGCGGTTAATCTATGACATGAACCCGTGGTATGAGACAGTTGTATAGGAATGGGATTTATCGGCCCATAACAACTCCCCGGTCCGAGTTCTAGGGAATAAAAGCCAGAGACTATCCTGCCATGGTTTCCTATTACATTCTTCATAAAAACGATATGTTCTCCTTAACTGAATGACATCTTTTACCAACACTATTCTTATTCATTTATTAGTTGATTGGACTATCTCCTCTTTTGCTTCTTTTGTGTAGTTCTATTGTATAAGAATTGGTTTTAAATAAATGAGCGAAATAGAGGCAACAGTGACTAGTCACTAGAATTGCATTTATTGCTTTACGATTAACAGCCGTAGTTGATTAGCAACAACAAATAATTTTGCTGAAACCCCTAGAACATATGTACTACACATCTGGACAACTTGAGATGCTGTCTTGCTTTGAAAATAACTGGAACAATGAGATATTTCAGAGGAAATTTAAAATAATGATAATATGCACTCGATATACGATAAAGTGGCATGGCATGTATATAATTTAGTTAAAAAAAAGTTATTATTCTATTTGACTTACATTCCATCTGCAGTACGAATAACACCAACAAATTCATCCAACTTTCTATTGGGTGGTTCACATTCAACAACCGCGTCAAAAGAGCTTAATTCTCCAGCAGTTAAAAGATGAGTTGTGACTGGCAAACCCTTCAACAAAAATAATAAAGGGCAGACATGAAAGAATTGATGCAGGAGGAAGAAATCATAACCAAACACATCTCCAGACCCGAATAGTTCGATGGTTACGTTTTGAACTATGAGGCTAGATGACACAAACTAGAATCCCATGGGCATACAACTTTCGGTCACGAAATCTCAGGTTCGAACTTCGCCTCATCTGCTCCAGTTTGAGGAACTGGGAATTACAATCAGCCCTCAAATTTAGTGTAATTTATACCCAAGTACCGGGTGAATGCGACAGTTTATTATTTTATAAACATATATATTAGGAGTTAGGTCTAATATTAGAATACCGAGAAAAATTCAAGGGAGACCACATTTTTTGAAGCTGTACAATCGTACTTATAGGTAATTTTTAAATGTAGTAGTCAATGGTATAATGAATGAAGTTTACAAAATTATCACAGATAGTAAAACTTGGGTTACTTTAAGATATATATTTTATCCCAATTCAGTGATCTGAAGATCAACCACTAGCCATAAGCAATATAGAACCTTGTACATATATCCATCGGTTTAAATGGACACACCGTATCAACACAGCACGATGAAATTATCAAGACAAATGCCAGAGAAATAGAAAGTCACAGTTTCAGTGGTAGTAAGAAATTTATGTATAGACAATATGATTCAAGAAGAGATGAAAAGTATGAAACAATTTTTAGAATCAAGACCTGGGAGGAAGATAAAGATTGAGCTGATCAGCACAATTGTAACCGGTTCTGAGCCATATCACCCAACGACTCCAACCATATGACTTTAACCAGGTAGTCTACAACTACCAATACGGCTTAGTCCAATGTTTAATAGCATCATGGATTAATGCCATGTCTCATGTCGGATTTAGTTTTCTTCCAACCTACCCCTACACCAGCCAACAACGAGAATCGACGCGGGATGCGGTTGGGCATATGTGAGAAATTACAGATGAAATTATTTTATTCATCAACTTTTGCTGATAAAATTGGTGTTACCATGCTATTTGAGGACACGGAGATTACTAACAACAACATAATAATTGACCAGGATAGTTTGAAAATTAGTCTGTATCTGAAAACAAATCAAACTTTCATCATCGGAAGACAGAATTATTTAACTTGCATGTGAAATAGTTACGTAACGATTTAATATAAACCTACTTGACGTAATTTCAGGTTTGTTTCTCCATCTAGATTACTAGTTTCAATATAGCACATAGCCTGAGGTTCACTAGACGCCAAAAGGACAAGATCAGCTGGGATCCCTTCATTACTGAGAACTTTGACTAAATCTCCTACCTCTAAATCTTTCCAACATATTTTAACCCAAACATGATTGCGTAATACTGTGAAGAGTTAAATAAAATGAATAAAAACTTGTCGGAATATTCAATGAAAAAATGTGTTAAATCACGACAAATGTGAACGTCAAACTAATCGCTGATCGAAAACGGACATCATCAGTTTACACGTAATTTATTGCAGTCTTCGGTACTATTCACAGGACAAAACCATTATACAAGGAAGACGGGAAACGTGATCAAACGAAAGTTTATAAATAGAAACGTAAGTTTTGTCATGACACTTCTAACCGTTGTAGAGCAAAGTATGACAAAATCATTGATGCCAGTGAAAATTTTAAATGGTTTTTGGATTCTTTTACAGCAATCTGAATGATTGACATAGATCCACAAATTTTGAGATCGTTTAGATTTTTAGCCCAGAAAGGTCATTTTAGTAAATTTCCATTCACTAAGAACAGTGCATTATTTGTGAAGCTTTTATTGTCCTTCTAGACAAAATTACTAACACAAACTTAGGATAGAAGTGAACCATTCAAATTTATCCACCAGTAACTAACAGATTATACAGTCAGGTAATCAAAACCAGTATTTTGAGGACAATGGGGGAGCAAAGTGTGAGCGGTCAAGAGACATAAGGTAAATGACTGACTTACAGTCACGCCCAGAAAAAGAAAAGTAAGAAAACAGAGTGAGACCCCTGCGTTGAACGGCAAATCGGATTGCAGGGAGATTTCAGGAATTAAAATTCTACAGCGTGTTGAGATGGACCTCCCTGACAAGTCAGTCAATTTTCATAAGTTAAGAGAATCATTTGAAAAGTAACCATAGGCTAGATTTGATCATGACCTCAGCCACAATAGGTCCTTAATAAGCAAGCTACTGCCAGAAGCAGTTTTAAGAGTTAGCATCTGTAAGTATTATAGAACAAAACAAAAAGTGGATTCTGAGAGTACTAAGAAAAGCCGCCTCTTGAAAGTTACTTTTGCTTCGGTTGAGTAAGGGGACGTCCGCGAGGACCTCAGTCTGGTTGACTGTACTAAGAGACGATCGGTAGAAGTAGAAATGAGCTCCGCCAAAAAGGTGAAAAAACACCGTACTTAAGGGTTTTGAAATTTTAAAAGTTTGGAGCAAAACGATCTCCTAACCACTCTGGGTGTAAGAGAAGTTCTCTACAAAACTAAAGGTGTGCTACACAAATGCTCGCAGCTCACTAAATGAAATGGCAAAGCTCAGAACAGTGATGGATATAGAAAAACCGGATGTCGTTGCTGTTTCAGAAAAAAGGCTAACCTCCGAAGCATTTGATGATGAAATTCAGTTGATTGGTATTTTGTCCAGTAGGGCTGATAGACTAAACCGTAGTGGAGGTGGTGTTATCCTGTACACAAAAAAGTACCTTAACAATATTAGCTATGAACCGGTGCGTTGCAGGCTGAAATAAAGACGGTAAGATATCAAATTAGTTATAGTACATCTCAATCCAGAATGTGTAGTAGATGACTACCTTCTAAGAAGACTTAAGTCCTGGTATAACAGGGGTAAAAGCCTTATAGTAGACGGCTTTAATGCACGGTATATAAACTGGGGGAACTTAGAAGTAGGGTCATGAACAACGTCGTTTGATTGCAAATTGTTAGAAACCACAAATGCACTAACTTTATCCCAACACATTAGAGATCCCACCAGATACGACTTACGAAGCTCCTTTTCTCTTTTCGGCCCCCAAATGCCCTGGTATGGCCGAGAGTGGGGGGGAGTCCGCTCTCCCTCTCGAAATGCTCTCACATGGCCACGCGTATACAGCCCCTGCCAGGGAAGTCCTACTCACTGCATTCTCGTGGCGGGGGTGTTGTTTACAAAAATAAGAGGACGAAAAGCGAATGTCCGGCACTATAACCGGATCCCAAACCAATGGTGCACATGGGCTCCAGTATCCTGCGGGAACAAATGGCGTATGAACCAATCGTTGGTCACAGGCTACCATGGGACTGCATCTCCTCACGATGCTCCACTGCCTTATGGATCAGATCTTCAGGTCAAAGGCTCGGGGTGTGGTCCCCTAAGAAAACCACCTGCTTCGGTTTGGGCACCCGGGCAGTATCACAGCCCTCACACATATCCAATGAGATCTGTGTGGCGCATATGTATTTGGTGCCTTCTTGTACCGATATCTGTGTTAAAAATAAAAATAAATAAATAATTTCTCTTTTCGACTTAGTCTTCACACACGGCGATGAAGTCGACCAGATGACCTTCCTCCTACCTCTAATATATTCTTTCTTTTTCTTACTACTAGATTGGGACATCGCAGAGAACATAACAGACAAGTAGAAAAGCCAAGAACGAACAAAATACCCGTGGCATACAGGCTTTCATATTAAGTCATCAATTCTTGGAACCTGTTACCCGAAGCAGTGATGTCTGCACCTTCAATTGACTCATTCGAGAGAAGACCAGACACTCACAGAAGCATACTAGAAAAAGAACACATGCTATAGGTCTTCTGTCTTTACTACACAACTCAAATTTGAATTACAATGGTGATAAATATACTTATAATAAGAGCTTTGACCCAAAGACCTATCTTCATATACCTACAAGATATAGGTTATTAAACCATCCTTCATTCAATGTTGTTGGGTTACAGAATGTAGTGAAAAGAAATATGGGATTAGAGAACACCTGACGTCACATGGCTTCTTAGAATGGCTTTCGGTGTATAGCACGCATTCTTTTTGATAGCATTATTAATAACAAAGCTTACCCAAAGTCTGCTCGTTATTTGTAGCGTCGTCAGCACGATGTCGTCTCTATAATCAAAATGTTAGTTAGTTAAAAAAGTTAGCATACAAAATCCTCTATCACTTCTTTAATGGCTGAAACAGTAAGTATGATGCAGAGAGGCACAAGGGTGGTGAATCTTCCAGTAGGTGAAACACCAGGAATTTGCTAAACAAAAAAGTGATGTAACTGTATTAGGAAACTACCTGGAGAAGAGCGATAACTAGGAAAAATATGTTTGCATATCTTCGGAACTGTTCTGTCACGAATTTCGGAAGAAAAGTGAGGAAGTTATATTTCGCAGTGCTAAAAAACAATGATTTTAAGGAACTATTATATATCACCTTATATTATTCTTACAGTAGTTGACCAACTGCGGTTTATTTACTTGAATAATGCGACAGCTTTCAGTTACTGAATGGTTAGGATTATTATTTCGACTTTTCATTTCAGTGTAATCTGGTTGGACTAAAGAATAAAAATAAAATTTGACTCAAACTTACCTTCTGCTGCATCCAGTGGAACCATTCGCAAGACAATGTGACTTTATTCAAATGCCAGGAACTTCCGAGCGACCTTGAAACTGCAGGCGTCGTGCATTAACATTCAGAGTTCGTTTGTGCTAGCTGAAACTCATGTGCGTTCTGGTGATGATCTATAAGTTTGAAAAGATTTACAAACTATCTCAGAGATACTTGTTATTAAGTTCAGTCAAAACCATCGTGATGGTTAATGCATGTGTTTCTGTGTTTCAGTTTCAGTTTGGGAAGGACAGGAGGCTTGATGGTTTGTGTTAGTCCTGGCAACGGTGTTCTCCCAGTTGATCTGACTTTTTTGGAAGAATCGACGGATGGAGCCTCAACCACGTGCTGAGGTAATGAATTTCACTCGATGATTCTATGGAAAAGTCGATAGTCAGCTGACTAGTAATTTGTTCTGGGCTTGTGAACTTTTTTGGAGTGCCCTCGTAAATTTTCTGTTTTGGAAGGCAAGATAAATGGTGGAATATCAGGTGCAAATTTATTACTAAGCAATTTGAAAACTGTAATAAAGTCGCCTCTAGTTCTACGATACGACAAAGGGAATAGGTTTAGCTTGGCCAGTCGAGCATCATAATGAAACTTCGCTATTCCGGGAATCAGCTTAGTTGCTGTTCTCTGGACCTTTTCCAGAAGCTCACTGTCTTTTTTAAGCAGGGGCTAGCCGCTTGTATGCAGCACTCAAGTTTAGGACGTACGAACACTGTATACAAAGTCAAAAACGTTTGAGTGTCAACATGAGTAAAAGCCTTACGTATTGACCATAAAGTTCTAAAACCTTTGACGGCTATTGCACAGCAGTGTGCAGTAGTCTTTAAATCTTGACTAACGATGACTCCTAAGTCATTATGTGTCTGGACAACAGGTAGCTTAGTGTTATTCATCGTGTATGTATCTGAACCTTGATGACCGATATGCATCACAACACACTTGGAAGTATTTATCGACAGCTGCCATGTATGAGACCATTCGGATAATTTCTTCATGTCATTTTGGAGTTCTAAGCTATCACCCTTACATCGTATCGTTCTCCATGTCTTGACATCGTCAGCATATAGCAAGACCGATGATGATAGTAAGCGAGGAAGGTCATTTACATACAAGAGGAATAGAACTGGCCGCAACTGTACCCTGGGGCACTCCATTAAGCACAGTTTCACAGCTAGATAACTTTGAGTTTGCCCGTACTCTTTGTTGGCGCACAACAAGGAACTCTTCTATCCACATCAATAGATTGCCTTCAATTCCGACATTTCTTAGCCGAACTTTGTCAAAAGCTTTGCTGAAATCAATGTAGGCTACGTCTATCGGTAACTTTTGGTCTTTAAGAGCTCACCAGCTTTCACGAGCGACTAACAAGTTAGTGAGACAAGAATAACCTATTCTGAAACCGTGATGCTTCTCCGAAAGAATCCAGTTTACATCGAGGTATTTAAACAGCTCCTTCCGGATAATCTTTTCTAAGATTTTAACAACCACACTAGTTAGGCTAACGGGTCGGTAATTCTCAGGTTTATGTTTCGTACCTGTTTTGAAGACAGGACTTACTATGGCGTTCTTCCAGTCTTTTGGTAAACGACCCTGCGTTACGGATAGCTTAAAGCATATACTTAAAGGGTTCGCAACGAAGTTAGATAATTCCTTTAGTAGCCTAGGATACAACTCATCGGGCCGCGCGAATTTACCTATGTCAAGCTTATTTAGCAGACCAAAGACATCGAGTTCTTTAATGGTCACACTATCCAGTGTGTGTAGGGGGTTGTATGCGCTGACGTGAAGGGTGCTTCTATGGTATATACATTGCTAGAGTAGTTTGAGAACACTTAAGCCTTACCAAAGTCATCCTCCACTAATGATGCGACAGTACTGTCAAATCGTAGCTCAACTGTGTAGTTCACCAATTTTTCGGACTCTTTGCGGTGTATACCGTAATGTCCTTAGATCTGGAAACTTCGGTTAATGGTTTGTGGCTTGTTTAAATCATCAACTGATGGCCAAACAACAATTTGTGACACCTTTTCATGGCAAAAATATATATTAGAGCTTCTCTTTCTATTTGATTATGACTTCTTTGTGTCACTGCCAGCTATTTTGTTGCACGAGCAGTAGCTTTCTCTGATCCATTAGACGTATGAAATAACTGATGCTGTTCTCTTAGCTTGAAGCATCGGAAGCAATCACATTTGGTGGGGCCGGATTGTTATACATGAGGGAAAAGTCTGATGACATCTGTTTTATTCTCATGAAAACTATTTGACAACCAATCAACTAATTACATCTGCTATTTTTTTTCAGTAGATGATTTAGTGGTGCACGTAGGTGAAGGAGGTCTAGGAAAGAAGATTCCATAGCGTCTGACTTCTCAAGAAAGATCAGTCAAGTTAGACATGATCTTAATAGTGTCGATGTTTTCATTATCTGATCTTCGGTTTTTATCCATTATAAAGCCCAGATAGCGTACTTCTCAGCACATAACTGGAATTCGATGTCATGGGTATGAACACCATATCCACTTTTTGGTCTGTCCCCATAGTGAGTATATCGTCCAGATGGGCCTCGATGTCGCATGTTTTTTGTAGCATAGTGTTCATGACGTATTGAAACGTAGATGAAGGTTTCTTTACTCTATAAGATAGTCGATTATACCGGGACACTCCTTTATGGACGTGTGTTGTCAGGTGGTGTTTAGTCTTCGACCACTAGAATCTGCAACATGATTCTTATTAGTCTAACTTTGCAAATTAATCTCCCCCATTCAGCTTCGGGTAAGGTTAGTGCAGACGCGTTGGCTTCTAGTGCTTCATTCAAGTAATCGGCACATAATCAGATGATTCCATTATGCTTCATGACAATTACAATCATTGCTGCTCATTTATAAAAATTTACTGGTTCATTATTTCCACTTTTCTGAAAAAGTAATTTCTGTTCAACGATAGACAGAGAAGCATAGAAACTTCTGGATGTATTTTAAATTTAACGACGAAAAATGTAGTCGTTCGTTGAGCTAAGATTTATCCACCTTAGTTTACTATTGCATTATGTGAATGTAATTAAAATAACATTTGTACAATGATTGATTGATCTATCAATCCTTGGACTAAATAACAAAACACACACAAATCTACCTTTTAGACCTTACATTTCTGCTATGCTGGTGCTGATAAAGTGTGTTTAAAACATCATGTGTATCTCTAAAACCATTTCATATTATTTTATTTTTAAAACATATTTAATTGCAGAGTTAGTCCATGGCAAAAAGCACAGTTGGTAAAATTAGTTCGTCAGTCGATTAAAGATGCAGTTACTCTGGCTATAGGCGATGGAGCAAATGATGTTGGAATGATACAAGTAAGTTTTGTGATAGTAGTACATTGATCCTTAGTTTATATTATACCTTGTGACTCACTGACGAATATAACGAATCTATTCATCAATCCATCAATTGGAGGGCAGTGAGTTATCGATAGGATCAATGACGCATAAAACACGTACGAGCAGTCTCGAGTCCTGATTGGTCCTGCTTTCCGCCTAGTCCAGCCAGTTGATTCCAAAACACTTATCTCAGCCCCTGCAATAAATATCATTTATTTCAAACATAATCGGTTTATATTGAATATCCATTTTTTTAGTAGTCTCGTGTTCAGCTTTGAGGATTGTGTGGATATGGCCCTATGCCACCACAGATCTTCTAATTGCAAGAAAAAATTTTACTGCAGCAAAAGATTGAAATATCCCTTTAGATATGATTTTCATAGATCTAGGTCAAGCCTTTGATATGGTTCCTCATTTGAGTCTTAAATTGAAGCAGGAAAGTTTTGGAATTCATTATAAGTTCATAGACTGGATGAGCTACTTTCTCTATGACAGGAGACAAATGATGTAGGTAAACGGAGCTCTATCATCGTGGGAACTTGTAAAAAGTGGAGTTACCCAAGGCACAATCCTTAGTCCCCATTTCATTTCGCTTTACGTAAATGAATTATCGGCAGTAGAAAAGTCATCCATCCTACTCATACATACATAATATATCAGATAGACTAGTAATACAGGATAATCTCAACTCATCGTGGCATGGATAGACGGATGGTCACTAGAAGCCAATCCTAACAAGAGTGTGGAGATGCAATTCAACAACTATCATATCACTACATAATACGTGGATTCGTGTTACCCAAAGTAATAAACTATACAGACTGCGAAGTCATAATAATCAGCAATCTCACAAAAAACTAGACACTGTAAGACTGCTGCTGTAAAAGGCTATAGGGTGTTATGGGCTATTCGTACATCTTTTCAGTATTTGGATGAAGAAATGTTAAGATTTTTATATCCGACTTTTGTAAGACCGCATTTTGAATATGAGATTCAAGCAGAGAGTTCTTGTTTCAAATATGAGTCCAACGACGAGGGACTAAAATAGTAAGAGTTCTATCTGGTGCATCTTATGAAAAGAGACTGAGACACCCAACACATTTGCGTTATCTTACTATAGAATACTGGGTGACCTGATATGGCTTATCGTATACTGAACAATGACCTTGGTATTAATATGCCTTATCTTTTCCTTATGTGACCGAGAACGTTGCCTTGAAAATAGTCTTCAACTGGAGGATGATCTGAGTCATTTGGTATGGACGGTATTTATCGTTGCTCGTATTGGTGCTAGCTGGTTTGCCAGTTCCGTCAGATGTTGTTGGAACATGGCTGTATTACATGTATATTCAATGTCGTGAAGGTTATGAAGAAAGTAAATTTTATGGAAAAATCTAAACTAACGAGTCAGGTAAAATAGACAATATAGAAAATAGAATAAACACTGCGCTCACCAGATAACTGTGGTGAACCAAAAATTATGTTAATTCAGAAATGAAAATAAAGTTATTACGTCTAAAAGTTAACGTTGTAATTTATCAATCATAATTTATAGACACGAAGAAAATTATGGGACGTTACTTAAATCGGCAGGCTTTGGCGTGTTTGAGCTGCATTTGGTACCAAATCCACTACTATAGATAATTAATCATTCCAATAAGGTTGTTGTAACCAGTAATGTAGCTAGATGTCGTGTGTAATGGAAATATGTCTAGTCTGTAAATGCAGACAATAGATATTTTAGAATTCAAGTATCTTGACAACAGACAATCGAGAATGAGAGACATGTGTGAAAAAGTGTATTTGCGAGCGGTTAACAGCGTCTGTCGTGCTATGAGGAATTTAAAACGGAAGAGGAAGTGTCTAACGTCATGTGAGTAAAGGAATTTTTTTCAAACATTCGTGGTAAATGTACAAACTATGGGAACTAACAAAATAAATGCAAACAATATCAAAAACCATTTACAAAATTAGTTTGTCGTGCCTATCTCCACAACGCGTAATCTTGAAAGAACTGGTGCTCCCTGACGGATTCGATCCTATGTCGCCCAGCTTCACCGCCAGAGATGCTACCACTAAGATATGCCATGTATGTCAGGTCCTTCTTAGTTCTCAGTTACCTCAAGGTTACAAGTAAACCTTGCTGATGAGTGCCGAGCAGCACGAAATCTACGTCCAAGAATTCCTGTTGACTACCTCCATCTCATAATTCAGTCTTCAGTCTTCAGTAATAAGGATAGTAGGTTAGTGAACCTGTATTAATCCTAACAGGTTGGCTTCCAGTGAAGGTCCAGTTTCTCTTTGAAAATATTCACTGATGGGGCTGATACCACTTGATCGGGCAAAGCGTTCCAATCATTGACTACTCGATGAGAAAAACGGAACCCCACCTTGAGTTTATTAGATCGTGGTTTATGAACCTTCTTGCTATGACCTCGGAGATTATTAGTGCTGGAGGGAGCAAAAAGATAAGACATATTAACACCCAAATCATAATTAAAGATACGAAATGCCAGTATAAGGTCACCTCGAGTCCTACGATACGACAAGGAGAAAAGGTTTAGACGTTTTAAACGCTCATCGTAAGGGAGTTTAGAAAGACCCTTCACTAATTTCGTTCCCACACGCTGGACACGCTCAAGTGAGGTAGTATCCTTTATCAGACATGGGCTAGCTGCTTGAATACAGTACTCTAAATGTGGTCTTACATAGGTGGGATATAAAATTCGAAACATTTCCTCGTCAAAGGATTTGAACGCTCGGCGAAGTGACCATAACGCACGAAAACCTTTGACAGCGGCTGCGTTGCAGACTTATTATTACTCCTAAGTCTTTATGTTCTTGAACGCATGGAAGAGGTTTGCCATCAATAGTATAATGGTAATTATTGCCGTGACCGATGTGCATTAGCACACTCTTCCTAGAGTTGATTTCTAAACCCCAATCTCGAGCCCATCTAACTAAATCGTCTAAGTCAGATTGAAGATCCAGATGATCTGCCTCACCTCTTATTGCTCTCCATATTTTGACATCATCCGCAAATACTAATGTCGACGACCTAAGCAACAGCGGTAATTCATTTACGTAGAGAAGGAATAGCAGAGGGCCTAATATGGTGCCTTGGGGTACACCACTTTTGACCGGCTTCCAATCGGATAGCGTCCCATTGACCCTCACTCTCTGTCTGCGGTCACGTAAGAAGTTTCCTATCCACTCCTGTACGGTACCTATTATTCCGAAGCTTGTGAGCTTCTGTATAAGACCTGAGTGTGAAACCTTGTCAAATGCTTTGCTAAAATCTATGAATATAACATCGACAGACAGACCTTTATCTAAGACTGCTGTCCAATCCTCTCTCGCAATAAGTAAATTAGTCAAGCATGAACGCTTATCACGAAATCCATGTTGCTCAGGAGCTAACAGATTGTGTGAATCTATGTGGCTTAGCAACCTAACCCGAATTATCTTTTCAAGTAACTTAACGACAATGCTAGTCAGACTGACAGGTCGGTAGTTAGCTACGATGTGTCTCTGACCATCCCTAAATATAGGACTGACAATAGCATCTTTCCAATCCCTAGGTAGTTGAGCGAGTGAAAGGGACATGTTAAAGTGTCGCGAGCGGTTTTGAAATAATTTCTGCAAGAGATGACAGCAATCGTGGATGTAACCCGTCAGAACCCGGTATCTTACAAGGTTTGAGGTTAATTATCAACGGAAGGACAATTTCTTCAGTCACCTGTATAGATTCGATGGCTGGTATCGCGGCGTAATTGGGACAAGTATTTGTTACAATAAACGTAGAGTAGACTTCGCTAAAGTAGTTTGAAAATGTCTCAGCTTTTGCTCGATCTGATTCAGCTAGTAAACCTGAATTATCGTGTAACGATAATGGGGGAATACTATCACTACGTTTTATTTGCCGTTTAACATACGAAAACAATCGTTTTGGACAAGTACGGCTATCATATACCAACTGTCGTTCGTAAGTAATACGGGATTTAGCTATTGTTTTCTTACAAATATTCCGGAGTTTTTGGTACTCACGCTTAAAAGATGCATGACCTGTCAACAAGAATAAGTCCCAGAAGTGTTTCCTACGCTTTAACAGCTTACGGGTTTCCTTATTAATCCATGGAGGGCAGTGCGATAGCTTACGTGCTGACCATGGGATAAACGGCGACGTTACGGACTCGAATGTAGCCTTAAACTTAATCCATTCGTCTTCGATCGATCCATCTGCGTCAACCGACCAATTAGTAGAGATCGCACAGTCTCTGATTGCCGGAATATTAGCCCGCCAGATATTGGGACGGGGTGGAGCAGATACAAATCGTATACCATGTGTCCTAAACTTAAAGTAAAGTACAACGTGATCACTGTTCACTAGTGGAGGAAGGTGCTGAATATCAAAGACGTCCTCACAGTGGTGGGTGAGGGCGAGGTCCAGCAGTGACGGATCACGTTTCAGATCAATATGTGTCGGTTCAGTGATACATTGGACAAGTGCACACTGAATAACTGTTGATAAAAGTTCGCTATCAAAACCTCCACCTGGAGCTGTAAGCTCTATCCAGTTTATGTTCGGAGCGTTGAAGTCCCCAATGATGAGGCAACATTCTGCCATACTCCAAGAACAGATGTGTCTTAAGATAAAGTCGTCAGCAAGACAACACGGACTACGGTATATTCCGCCTATAGTCACTAACCCATTTCTAGATTTAATCTTACAACATGCTACCTCACATGTACCACTAACATGAGCCTCCGATATGATTGATTGTATACGAAAGTGGTCCCTAATGTATAACATTATGCCTCCCCCCTTGCGGCTTAAAACTCTATCACTTCTAATACAGATATAGCCTGCAATGATGGGAGAACATTCTATATCTACGGTGAACCAAGTTTCTGTAATAACAATTATATCGTGACTTAATTCATCCACCATCAGACTTAGCTCGGACGTTTTATTCCTAAGACTACGGGCGTTCGTGTAGCACACACTTAAGGTGTTATGGTAATCGTTCGTTCTACCCATATAGGCCTCGGAAGCATTGGCTTCCAAGACCTGACTACCCGAAAACCCTTAATGGTAAGGTTAGTTTCGCCATTTAACTTGCGAGTTATTAACTCCGTAAGAGCATTCTTCCACTTGATTCGATCTTCAAGCGGCCAATCTGGTCGGATACGAATATTTGAATCACGAATTTTTTGTGCGTTTTTCAATAATATGTCTCGTTCTTCAAAACTCCCTAGAACCAGCTTCAAGATCCTTCTTGGTTGGGTCTCGCCTCCAACCTATTTACCGAGTCGTATCAATTTCGTGATATGTACTCCTGAAACCTCTTCAGGTAGTACGTTTCTTACCACGGATTCTACTAACTTCAGATCATGTGCATGTCTCTTAGCAAGATCGTTGTCTGTCGACTCCTCTAGATTCCAAATAATTAAGCTAGGGAGTGGTTTAGTTTCTTTAGGAATCGTGTTTACGGCTATCGATCGTGACCTAACATCCTGTATATTAACTACTGGTATCTTACGATTAGTTTTTATTGTAACAGAGTCATTGGAGTCGAGCGAGTGACTCACAACAATGTTTGACGAGGCTTTACTTTGGGACTTTGGCGGAGTGGTCTGAGAGTCCACCAAAGACTTATCAAGTAAACAGTCCTTACTTTTAGCTGTCTTTCCTACTCTTCTGCGTTTACACTTCATCCATATTCCGTCAGCCGGAGCATCTATATTGGAACTGCTCGGGACAATAATTGTTTTATCTGGATCACCATGTTTACTTTTTTATGTAATGTATTGCATACAGGCGGTCATGTCCTGCCCAAAAAGAGACAGTGGACTGTCGGAAGAGGTCCGAAGGACCATATCTAAGTTGATTCCCGCAACCACAAAGCTCTCTCGTCATGGCAAACTGGTTCAACTGAACATATTTCCCTGGTGATTTCATCACTTATTCTAAATTACTTAGTGGAGAATTTCCACTTGATACGCGCTCAAGTTTCTTGTCTCCCAAAACAGAAAATTGACGAGGGCACTTTAAAAAGGCTTACAAGATTTAGAACAAATTTCGTTTCAGGTGGCTATGGATTTTCCCTTCGAATCGTCAACTCAATAACTCAGCATGTGATTAAAAATTAATCTGTTGACGGATTCTAGGGAGATTAGTATCGGCTGAGAGACTGTCGCTATCAGGACCAAAAGAGACAATTTAACGCTCAGCACTTTCTATAATAACATAACATTGATCATTAAAGTTATTATATTCAACTTTTGCGTTACATATGTGCATGGACAAGATATCCGTGACACAGGTACATGGGTTTTTCTTTAAATGTATCAAATATTTCTGAGGAATTTCTGTATAATGCTGGGCAGTGCGTAGATTCGTCATGAGCGGCTTCAGTGCTACTCTAATTTTCTGTGATATAAACTGTTCATGTGGCTGCAGCCACATGATATCGTGTTTGTTCACAGGGTTTATAGTGATTCGGATCGACATCACGCATTTCCTCTCTAACGACTTGGACTTGGGTGATAAAAACTACCTAACTTATTGGACGAGCGCTCGTCAAAGTGTGCACTCTGTCAATCAGTTCATCGACTACACAGATTCGTTTGCCTGACAGATTCTTTCCGTGAATTTAACCATTAATAGCAGTAATACCTATAGGGAGTCAACGGGATTTCTGGAAAAATGTTGCAGCCATTCATTTATATTAATTCAATAAGTCGGTTGATAAACTTTGTTGCTCACTGCTGAAGGTATTCTCAGATATTCTACACAACACAAAAGTATCAAACATATACTAGGGTACTCGTAATTTTCGCTTGCTTTGAGTTTCAGATTCCTATTCGTCTTAAACTTACCCAAATGTCTCACCTAGTCGTTAACCACTATGTTATCGCCTCCAAATGCCCTGATGCAACCGAGAGTGGGAAGAGTCAGCTCACCCTCTCCAAGTGCTCTCACATAGCAACATGCACACAACCACTTCCCGTGAATCCAACTCCCTGCCTTATTGCGGCAGAGGTGTTGTTTTCGAAATTGAAAGGACGAAAAATGAATGCCCGGCACTTTAACCGGGTCGATGAATACAGTGGGTTCACCTAAGGGAGTTGGAAAACCCTGATTCCTAACCAACGGTGAACATGGACTCTAGGATACTGAGGGAACAAATGGCGTATGAACCAATTGTTGGCCACCGGCTACCATGGTACTTCATCTCCTTAGGTTGCTCTACTGCCTTGTGGGTCAGACCTTTAGGTCAAAGGCTACGGGTGTGGCCCCCTAAGAAAACCACCTGCTTCGGTCTGGGCACTCGTGCAGTATCCCAGCCCTCACATAAATCGAATGATTTATGTGGCGTATACCTATTTGTTGCCCTTGCGTACCTTTGTTTATGTGTTGAAATAATAATAATAATGAAATGCTGTCATACTGACTTTTTATTATCGATGATACTGTACCTGTTAAATCGATGTATGCAATAGTTAAAATAAATTAAAACTATCATTGGTAAAATATTAATAAAAGTACCAGTCAGATAACGACTAGTAAAGTGACTTTTTCTGTAAACAAACTTTGCAACTGCTTCTATCGTAAAACATTATTTTGTATAGGTAAATGACGTTTTCTACATAGATCAATTCGATGGTAATGCACATATTCGTGGAACTTTACACTTAACTCTGACGCACATATTTTTTCTTGGATTATCTCGAAAACAGGAAATATGGGTAGTCTTTGTTGTTTGTTCATGTATATTCAGTATTTTGATGTATATATTATTGTTAAACATAAAATGTGCTTTTTGCGTGTGTGTAACTTGTTAAAACGAATCCATGTATGAATACAGATGTTATTCCGCAAGAGTAACTGATCAATGAGAGTTTAAAATATTGTTACTTACATAAGTTATCACCGCATTACCAACTTTTAAAACTGATATTAGGTGAATTTGCTCATTTTCCAACTTTTATTAAGTATATATGGTGGTTAATTGTTTAAGCTAAGAGAAATTATCAGCCGCGTTAAATTAGAAAGGAGAACTTCCTGACCGAATAAATTTTAGTTTTTCGTAAACGTGAGTTATCTAAGTCACATTATCATCTTCGAATCAAGAGTTGGCCTAGATAATCCAACTGAAAAAACTTGAAAACTTGCTTGCAAATTGTAATATTCTCTAAACATGTAATAATTCATACGGTGTCGGCTTTGTTGTTTACAAGAGAGAGAGAACAATGGTGGGGAAAACGGAAAGGTACAATCAGAAGAAATCTTTCAGTTAAGGAAGATACAACCACTTTTTATGAAGAAAGTAAAAGAAGGTTACAGCAGGATCGTTACTGGCTTCTATTCTGAGCCATATCTGATAACGTCTCTAGCCACTGCGTTACACCGTCTCTCGGACCCCAACCAGGGAGTCATGAAGGACCAACAGAAGCTAGCCATTTGCAGCTTTCTTTCATACCATGACACCATGTCATATACTGACCACCTCTCCGCTTTTTCCAACCAGTCCCAGAGTCGGCAAATAATGCACGACGAGGAATTCTCTGGGACGACATTCGTAGAACATGTCCAAGCCACCGAAGTCGGTGTTTCAAGATGGTGACACCAATTTCACTATCGTCTCTGTGACCGAACACTCGATGCCGAACCTCTGCATTACTGACATGGTGTTGCCATTGGATGTCAGCAATCTTTCGGAGACAACGATGATCAAACACAGAGAGTCGTCTAACATCACTACCATGTTTAAAAAGAGCCGGAGGTAAGTCGTTTGGGCCCGGTGATTTGTAACGTTTCAAGAGTTGGACTTCCGCCTCATTTGGTGGATCAGTCGTCACCGGCCATGGAGGGCAGGACAGTCTGACCGATGTTGCTGGAGCAGCAGGCCAGTTGAACTGCCCTTCGAAAAATTCATACTTCGCCTTATCCCATGGATATCCGTCTCCGGCGGAACGGTCTCAACAAGTATGGAGTTAACACGAAAACTACTCACAAAAAGGTTGTGTGTGACTGGCCTCAAGTAGTTTTCTCTTGGGCATTGCAATAACACTCTCAGATCACTAAGACCGCCTCTGATCCAATTTCCTTTTCAGGGACCTCTAGAAGAACCCTTCCATAGTGTGCGCAAATGAGAAAAGATAACCACCCTCATACCTCTAACAGAACTCAAGACAACTGTATCCACAATCAACTCCCCTCTTCTATTCCTATTCTTCCTCCTACATCGACTTTCACCACTAAACTTCCTCCTCAAGTGTCACCATAGCCAACGATCCTAGTTTGCAAAGTACCGTCACAAGTTTACTGAAACTTCGCTTCAAACTACACAGAGCTTTCAACGTATACACCATATGTCAAATCGACCAGCAGTCCTTTTTGTATCCGTTTCGACCTAGACAGCAGCTCACCTATGGTGAAAATTCAGCTTTATCTAAACGTTCTCGAGTCACTGCCTGGTTGAGAATTGTATGTTACCACCGAATACGAGTACTGAAGCAGTTTTTCTGAAACCACGTGCACCATTCAAACTGGCTGCCTTCAACGTTCGCACAGTTATGCAGGTCGGACAACAGATAGGGCTGGCTATGTCTTTGGAAAGTCTTAATATTGATGTGTGTTGTCTATCCGAGACCCGTATTCAAGACTCTGGTGAAGTACTACAAGTTCGCTCTCCATCTGTCGCTTCAAAAAGCTTGTTTTATGTGCGTTTATCCGGGGACCCTGTGGCATCTTCGTCTGGTCATGACGGCGTTGGTGTCGCACTAAGCGCAAGAGCTGAGGCAGCACTAGTTGACTGGATCCCCATTAACAGTCGGTTATGTGCTGTTAGATTAGAAAGTTCCATCAAAGTGAGAAGAAATCGGCGCGAGAAACGATGTCTTTTCGTCATCTCCGCCTATGCCCCGACAGATTGCAGCCTGGATGCAATCAAGGACGAGTTCTACCACCAGCTAACTGTTCTTCTCCAGAAAGTGCGTTCGACAGATATTATAGTACTAGCCGGAGACTTGAATGCTTAGGTTGGGCGTCTAGGCACAGAGGAGAGTCGTTTAGGTAGCCGATGGGTTCACGTCGTTCCTGTAACAACTATCGGGGGATAAGTCTACTTCCAATTGCGTCCAAGCTATTGGCTTCCGTCATACTTCGTAGGTTGTTCAGAACCCGAGAAGGGTTGACTCGCGAGGAGCAGGCTGGGTTTCGTTCTGGTCGAGGATGTATTGATCATATCTTCACCCTCCGCCAAGTGTTAGAACACCGCCATATTTATCAAAGGCCAACAATCGTAGTGTTTCTTGATATCAGGGCTGCCTTCGATTCGTTGGACAGAACTGTTCTCTGGGATTGTCTATTGAAGAAGGGTAAGCCTGAGAAGTTTATTAACATCCTAAAAGCCCTATACACAAACACCTCAGGCAGAGTGAGGGCATACAACCACCTTTCTCCACTATTCCATTCGAGCAGTGGGGTTAGGCAGGGTTGCCCAATCTCACCATTCCTCTTCAACTTTGCCATCGATGACATTCTGGAAACAGCTCTGACGGATGTAAGTAATGGTGGTGTGGATCTGTTGCCTGGAGAAAGACTTCTCGACCTTGAGTATGCGGATGATATTGTCTTACTGTGCGACAATGCCCAAGCTGCCCCCAAATGCCCTGGTATGGCCGAGAGCGGGGAGGGTTCGCCCTCCCTCTCGAAATACTCTCACACGGCCACGCGTATACAGCCTCTGCCAGGGAAGTCCTACTCACTGCCTTCTCGTGGCGGGGGTGTTGTTTACGAAAATGAGAGGACGAAAAGCGAATGTCCGGCGCTATAACCGGATCCCAATTCTATGGTGCACATGGGCTCCAGTATCCTGTGGGAACAAATGGCGTATGAACCAACTTTTGGTCACCGGCTTCCATGGGACTGCATCTCCTCACGATGCTCCACTGCCTTGTGTACTAGACCTTTAGGTCAAAGGCTTGGGGTGTGGCCCCCTAAGAAAACCACCTGCTTCGGTTTGGGCACCCGGGCAGTATCCCAGCCCACTCACTAAAACTATGATGAACTATATGCTTATAGAAAGTATTCGTTTCTCTCCAACTAACATTGAAATGACTGGTATTATTATTATTATTACTATTATTATTATTGTTATTATTATTATTATTTACTACGTCATTTATTCACTATCTCCTATTTCTACTTTTTGTATCCGCTTCGACTCAGACAGCAGCTCGCCTATGGTGAAAATTCAGCTTTATCTAAACGTTCTCGAGTCACTGCCTGGTTAAGAATTGTATGTTACCACCGAATACGAGTACTGAAGCAGTTTTTCTGAAACCACGTGCACCATTCAAACTGGCTGCCTTCAACGTTCGCACAGTTATGCAGGTCGGACAACAGATAGGGCTGGCTATGTCTTTGGAAAGTCTTAATATTGATGTGTGTTGTCTATCCGAGACCCGTATTCAAGACTCTGGTGAAGTACTACAAGTTCGCTCTCCATCTGTCGCTTCAAAAAGCTTGTTTTATGTGCGTTTATCCGGGGACCCTGTGGCATCTTCGTCTGTTCATGACGGCGTCGGTGTCGCACTAAGCGCAAGAGCTGAGGCAGCACTAGTTGACTGGATCCCCATTAACAGTCGGTTATGTGCTGTTAGATTAGAAAGTTCCATCAAAGTGAGAAGAAATCGGCGCGAGAAACGATGTCTTTTCGTCATCGCCTATGCCCCGACAGATTGCAGCCTGGATGCAATCAAGGACGAGTTCTACCACCAGCTAACTGTTCTTCTCCAGAAAGTGCGTTCGACAGATATTATAGTACTAGCCGGAGACTTGAATGCTTAGGTCGGGTGTCTAGGCACAGAAGAGAGTCGTTTAGGTGGCCGACAGGGACTCGTTGGTCGCAGGACAGATAACGGGGAACGTCTACTGCAACTATGCACAGACCACAACCTGTTTCTGGCTAGCACTAACTTTCGGCACAGTCATCGCCGATGTGCCACCTGGCGTCCCCCTTCTGCATCTCAAGCCTGGACTCAGATTGATCACATCGCGATCAGCTACCGCTGGCGCGGTTGTGTACAAGACTGCCGCTCCTTATGGAGTACCTATCTGGAATCTGATTATGCTCTGGTCTGCGCCAATCTTACCTTACTTTTCAGTGGACAACGAAGTGACCGCCACCACAGGATTGATGTTAGCAAGCTGGCTGCAACTTCTGTTGCTAGTAAGTACCGAACTGAGCTAGCTTCTAAGCTAGCTAGCATTCCACCGAAAAGTATAGATGAGCATTGGTTGCAATTGCATGACGCCATGAAAATGGCGGGTCAAGTCTGTTGTGGGTCTGCGAAACGTCCCGCTTACAAGCACTGGGTTTCTTCTGGTTCCTTACAACGGATTGAAGCCCGTCGGTCTACTCCGGGTGACCGTGAGTTTGACCACAGACGAAGGATGTTACGTAATGAAATCGGGCAAAGCTTGCGTAAGGACCGTGAAGCCTGGTGGTCGGAGCGTGCCAGTGAGTTGGAAGCAGCAGCTGCATCTGGTAATTACCGGAAGCTCTTCCAACTCATCCGAGCCACTGGCAGCAAGAAGTTTGGTGTGAGCGAAACAATCTGCGAGGATGACGGAACGCCAATCACTAACATCCATCGACGTCTTGGACGATGGGCAGAATTCTTTGAAGGGCAGTTCAACTGGCCTGCTGCTCCGGCAACATCGGTCAGACTGTCCTGCCCTCCATGGCCGGTGACGACTGATCCATCAAATGAGGCGGAAGTCCAACTCTTGAAACGTTACAAATCACCGGGCCCAAACGACTTACCTCCGGCTCTTTTTAAACATGGTGGTGACTTTCTGACTAAGGGACTGACGACGTTGTTTACAAAGATCTGGGAACTACAGAGTGTACCAACGTCATGGAATGAGTCGATAGTTGTCTCTATCTTTAAAAAGGGTTCATGTCATTCCTGTAACAACTATCGGGGGATAAGTCTACTTCCGATTGCGTCCAAGCTATTGGCTTCCGTTATACTTCGTAGGTTGTTCAGAACCCGAGAAGGGTTGACTCGCGAGGAGCAGGCTGGGTTTCGTTCTGGTCGAGGATGTATTGATCATATCTTCACCCTCCGCCAAGTGTTAGAACACCGCCATATTTATCAAAGGCCAACAATCGTAGTGTTTCTTGATATCAGGGCTGCCTTCAATTCGTTGGACAGAACTGTTCTCTGGGATTGTCTATTGAAGAAGGGTAAGCCTGAGAAGTTTATTAACATCCTAAAAGCCCTATACACAAACACCTCAGGCAGAGTGAGGGCATACAACCACCTTTCTCCACTATTCCATTCGAGCAGTGGGGTTAGGCAGGGTTGCCCAATCTCACCATTCCTCTTCAACTTTGCCATCGATGACATTCTGGAAACAGCTCTGACGGATGTAAGTAATGGTGGTGTGGATCTGTTGCCTGGAGAAAGACTTCTCGACCTTGAGTATGCGGATGATATTGTCTTACTGTGCGAGAATGCCCAAGCCATGCAATCCGCACTTAATCAGTTGGCAATCAGTGTCCGTAGGTATGGTATGTGCTTTGCACCTTCGAAGTGCAAAGTACTTCTACAAGAATGGCAGGATTCTAATCCTGTACTCACTCTGGATGGTGAGCAGATTGAAGTAGTCGAGAAGTTCGTGTATCTAGGTAGCTGCATAAGTGCTGGTGGTGGCATGAGTGATGAGATCAATGCACGTATAGTGAAAGCCATAGCGGCTTATGCCAATCTGGGCCATCTTTGGCGCCTTCGTGATGTTAGTCTGGCTGTAAAAGGTCGGATCTACAACGCGACGGTGAGAGCAGTTTTGCTCTATGCTTGTGAAACCTGGTCTCTCCGAGTTGAGGATGTTAGACGACTCTCTGTGTTCGATCATCGCTGTCTCCGAAGGATTGCTGGCATCCAGTGGCAACACCATGTCAGTAATTCAGAGGTTCGGCATCGAGTGTTCGGTCACAGAGACGATAGTGAAATTGGTGTCACCATCTTGAAACACCGACTTCGGTGGCTTGGACATGTTCTACGAATGTCGTCCCAGAGAATTCCTCGTCGTGCATTATTTGCCGACTCTGGGACTGGTTGGAAAAAGCGGAGAGGTGGTCAGTATATGACATGGTGTCATGGTATGAAGGAAAGCTGCAAATGGCTAGCTTCTGTTGGTCCTTCATGACTCCCTGGTTGGGGTCCGAGAGACGGTGTAACGCAGTGGCTAGAGACGTTATCAGATATGGCTCAGAATAGAAGCCAGTAGCGATCCTGCTGTAAACTTATTTTACTTTCTTCATAAAAAGTGGTTGTATCTTCCTTAACTGAAAGATTTCTTCTGATTGTACCTTTCCGTTTTCCCCATCATTGTTCTCCCTCTTTTTTTTAATAATTCCCCACGTTCATTACCTTTTTTTCTCCTTCTCTTCAAATTATTATTGTTTTGTGTGGCGCATATATATTTGGTGCCCCCCTGTACCAATATTTATGTGTTCAAATAAAATAAAAAATAAATACACAGAACAATGAGAATGGGAAGAGAAAAAGAATGTAAGGTGCGTATAAAAAAAAGAACAATAACAACCACAGATTAGTATATGGTAGTGAAATAACAATAATAATAATTGGGGGAACGGAAAGGTACAACCAGAAGGAATTCTTTCAGTTAAGGAAGTTACAACCACTTTTTATGAAGAAAGTAAAATAAGTTTACAGCAGGATCGCCACTGGCTTCCATTCTGAACCATATCTGATAACGTCTCTAGCCACTGTGTTGCACCATCTCTCGGACCCCAGCCAGGGAGTCGTGAAGGACCAACAGAAGACGATGACTTTTACAGAAAGCTTTCTGAACTTATTAAAAAGCTAAACACCTAGATATAGTACTCGTAGCAGGTGACTTTAATGCCCAAGGAGGTAGTATAAGCCAAACAGAAAGACACTTAGGTTGGTATTTTAGTATTCCGGCTCAGAGAATAGATAATGGTGATCGTCTGCTGCAATTGTACTCAGACAATGGTTTGTTTTTAGGGAACTAATTTTAAGCATAAGGAGAGGCATCGTCTAACATGGCGACCCCTGCATCAAACCAACGATGGACTCAAATAGACCATATTGCCATCAGTCATCGTTGGAGAGGGTCGATAGAAGACTGTCGCTTGTTCTGGAATACCTGCTTGGACTCCGACCATGCTCTAATACGGGCGCGCATTTGCTTGCGCCTCAGGGGACGCAGAAAAGGCACACCAAGAAGACCCATTAGAATTGTACTAGGTGACGAGAAAGCCAAAAGTAGATTCCAAGAACAACTGAGGTCACACTTAGTTAGTTCTGAGAACGAGGCTGACCCAGATGTTGCTTGGAAAGATATACGAACAGCTGTGGAAACAGCAGTGACATCTATGAGTGATTTAAACCAAAGCGTTACAAAGAACCAATAGATTTCTTCTAGGTCTATTGCACTGATGAATTCTCGCAAACTCATCCCATCATGCTCTGAACACGATGATGAACGAAAGTAAATCAGATCTAGGTTAAGCAAAAGTCTAAGGAACGACTGTGAGCAGTGGTGAGCATCGAATGCAAAAGAGATGGAAAAGGCGGCTATAGGGAACACAAGACAGCTCTTCAGACTCATGAAAGAAACTGGAACTAAGAACTGACGTATAAGTGAGACTATCTCGGAAAAAGATGACACTCTTATCTGCTCTCAACCCAGACGTTTAAAACGATGGGTGGAACCCTTTAAGGAGTAGTTCAGCTGGCCTTCCGTTACTCTACAACTACCCACCATTTCCAGACAGTGTGAATGGAACATTGAAGTAGGCCCTCCAACTCTCGTTGAAGTTCCAAAAGCTACAACTAATCTGAAACGAGGAAGAGCAGCTGGTCCAGACGGATTGGCTCCAGAGGTCTTTAAGGATGGTGGTCTAATTTTAGCGACTAGGTTGACCAATATTTTACCTAGAATGTGGGAACTGAGCCAGACACCGTCCAGACTTAAATTTTATTAACCGAGCACTACAGCTCAATCCCGCTTCACATGAGCTGTACTGTTTGGGTTGTCACGTGAAAGTCTGGATGGCGTCTGGTTCTCCTGTAAACCAATGTAAAATTACCCTGACCCACAAGGGCATATTATATAACAGTGAATAGCTCTATCTGTAGCTCTTCTAGCGTTACTGCCGGCCCCAAGCCCGGGTAAAGGAGGAGGGTTGGGCATGGGGTTAGCGTATCCATTCCGTAGAAATCTAACTCGCTAAAAAACGCTAACCAGAAAAAATAATTCAAGCCATTTAAATTCTGCCCTGGGAGTTAGGTCTTCATTTAGAAGAACTATGACGCCTCATGGTGAAAGCCGAGTTCCTTCGGAAGCCACGAAGCCGATGCCCCTTCTAACAACCAAAGCAACAATTTTTATAGGTACATGGAACTTCCGGACAATGTGGGATACCGGGAAGACCAGTCAAATAGCAACGGAAATGAGGAGATACAACTTGGCAGTACTGAGAGTCAGCGAAACCCATTGAACCCAAGCTGGACAACAAAGGCTAAATACGAGAGAGATGGTGCTATACGAAAAAGAAAATGCTCCACACACCCAGGGAGTTGCTCTAATGCTGTCCAAAGTAGCACGAAATGCACTTGTAGGATGGGAATGTCACGGATCCAGAATCATCAAAGCATCATTCAAAACAAAGAAGGAAGGGATCACAATGAATATTATCCAGTGTTATGCATCCACCAATGATAGCAACGAAGACATCAAAGATCAATTCTGTGAGAGGCTGCAGTCAACCATAGAGAAGTGCCCAAGAAAGGACCTCACCATTTTGATGGGGATCTAAACTCAAAAGTCGGAATAAACAACACCGGATGTGAAGATATCATGGGGAAAGATTTGCGAATCTCTGTGCATTCAACAAATTGGTCATATGCGGCACAATATTCCCACACAAACGTATACACAAAGCTACATGGATCTCACCGGACCACACCTCAGGGAACCAGATAGGTCATATTTGCATCAACAAAAAGTCCCGAAGGACGATGGAAGATGTGAGAACCAGGAGAGGAGCGGACATAGCTTCAGATCACCATCTGGTTGTGGCCACTTTAAAACTGAAGCTAAAGAAGAACTGGACAACTGGACAAACAGCACTACAAAGGTTCAATACAACCTTTCTTCGAGATACTGACAAACTCAATAAATTCAAGATAGCTCTCAACAACAGCTACCAAGCCTTACAGGATCTACTGAAGGAAGAAGAAACTACTATGGAGGACAACTGGAAAGGTATCGAAGAAGCATTAACTTCAACGTGTCAAAGGGTTTTAGGCCTCAAGAAGCATCATCATAAGGAATGGATCTCTATAGAAACACTGGACAGGATCAAAGAAAGGAAGAACAAGAAGACGGCAATTAATAACAGCCGAACACGAACAGAGAAGGTTCAAGCACAAGCTGAGCACATAGAAACGAACAAGCTAGTGAAGAAGAGCATTAGAACCGGCAAGCAGAAATACGTGGAAGAACTAGCAACGACGGCGGAAAAAGCTTCAAGTGAAGGAAATATGAAACAGCTTTACGATACAACGAAGAAACGAGAAGGGAGATAATAGGAAACCAGATGGATTGATCAAAGACAAAGAAGGAAGACCAATCACTGAAATTCAACAACAGTAGAACAGATGGGTAAAGTACTTCGAGGAACTCCTGAATAGGCCGGCTCCAACGAACCCACCGGACATCGAAGCAGCACACAGATCTTCCTATAGATGCCAATCCACCAACGACGGAAGAAATCAGAATGGCCATCAGACAAATCAAGAGCGCGAAAGCAGCAGGACCTGACAATATACCAGCTGAAGCGTTGAAGTCAGACATCGAAGTAACTACAAGCATGCTTCACCTTCTATTCAAAAAGATTTAGGAGGAGGAACGAGTGCCGATGTACTGGAAAGAAGGACACCTCATCAAGATTCCAAAGAAAGGAGATCTGAGCAAGTGTGAAAACTACAGAGGCATTACACTACTGTCAATACCGGGTAAAGTCTTCAACAGAGTGTTACTGAACAGGATGAAAGACGCAGTAGACGCTCAACTTCGAGATCAACAAGCTGGATTCCGTAAGGACCGGTCGTGCACAGACCAGATTGCGACACTACGGATCATCGTCGAACAATCAATTGAGTGGAACTCGTCACTCTACATCAACTTCATTGATTATGAGAAGGCATTTGACAGTGTAGATAGGAGAACATTATGGAAACTTCTTCGACACTACGGAGTTCCTGAGAAGATTGTCAACATTATCCGGAACTCATGCGACGGACTACAGTGCAAAGTAGTGCATGGAGGACAGCTGACAGATGCATTCCAAGTAAGGACCGGAGTCAGACAAGGCTGTTTAATCTCTCCCTTCCTGTTTCTTCTGGTGGTCGACTGGATTATGAAGACCTTGACATCTGAGAGAAAACACGGCATACAATGGACAGCTTAGAGCCAATTAGACGATTTGAACTTCGCAGATAACCTAGCCCTTCTATCGCATACACACGAACAAATGCAGATAAAGACAGCCAGCGTAGCAGCAGTCTCTGCATCAGTAGGCCTCAACGTACCAAGAGGAAAATCAAGGTCCTCAAATACAACACGGAGAACAGCAACCCAATCACACTCAATGGCGAAGCTCTGGAAGATTTAGAATCCTTCACATACCTGGGAAGCATCATCGATAAACAAGGAGCTTCAGATGATGACGTAGAAGAGAGGATTGGCAAAGCAAGGGCCGCATTCCTTCAATTGAAGAACATATGGAACTCAAAACTACTTTCAAAAAATATCAAATTCAGAATCTTCAATACAAACGTCAAGACAGTTCTACTGTACGGAGATGAAACTTGGAGAACTACTGTAACCATCATGAAGAAGGTACAAGTATTTATAAATAGTTGTCTACGCAAGATACTCAATATTCTTTGGCCGGATACCATCAGCAACAGCCTTCTGTGGGAGAGAACAAACCAGCTTCGAGATGAAGAGGAAATTAGGAAAAGACGATGGAAATGGATAGGACATACATAACGCAAATCATCAAAATGCATCGCGAGGCAAGCCCGAACTTGGAGCCCTGAAGGGAAGCGGAAAAGAGGAAGGCTAAAGAACACATTACGTCGGGAAATAGAATCAGATATGGAAAGGATGAATAAGAACTGGGGAAGAGCTGGAAAGGATTACCCAGGACAGGGTTGGATGGAGATTACTGGTGGGTGGCCTATGCTCCTTCACGAGGAGTAACAGGAATAAGTAAGTAAGTATCCTTACATAAAATCTTTCCTTTATATATTACACCATTAAGTTAATTGCTTCTATGAAGCCGGTGTTCATCTTGTTGTGCTAATGAGGTGTGGCAACTTGGACCGATGCATATACGTGCCTGGTCCTACGTTGCAGCTGACTGACTGATATGTCACACTATAATCCGTATATGGTTGTGACCAGCTGACGAGAAACCATGAAACAGAATAAATTCACATTATTCTGCCTCAGTTGTTGATCTGGCTTGATTTAACTGTTTTGTTTTGATCATATACTTTTTGCGTTCATTTTGTATAGTTACCGAATCAACTAATTTCTTCAGTTGAACGTCTACCGTTAACTACTGGTGGTGCACCTTTGATTATACGTGGAAAAGATTTCCGTGTAATTCGTTTGGTTGTTTTAAAAGAACGAGACTGTCACGATGTTTATTTAACATTGACACGGGTACTTCGTGTTGGTAAGTGTTAAGTTCAAGAATAAAACATGGTCGTAAAAACGTTCATTTCTCAGATGTTATCTTTTAGTAATTAATGTAACAAAACATTCTGTTACTCACTGAGTTAACTAAAATATTTATGAATTATTTATTGAAAGCTCTAGTTACTTTACTAAATAGTCTCACTAAGATAGCTCTAGTTACTATGCATGAATAAACTGGACAATTCAGTCGGTTTTGATAGCCCTGATTCTGCGAAAATCCAAATCTTCATGTCATTTGATCTGCTATCTTTTAGACATACTCTTTGTTCTCGTTGTGACTCATCTGAATGCTGCATATCTCCTCTGGCATTTAAGTAAGCTCTTTTCAATGCGTCGTCGTACTTACTACATAGTTTTGTTATATCTGAAGCTCGAATACGCGAATGCTAGAACCCTTCAAGTCTCAAATGAGAAGGCAGAAGACAAGTGAAAGGAATGCTATTTCAAAGAGTGTCAAATATGGTACAAAACTCCCAGGTGCTGAGTAAGAACGAAATCATCATTATGGTCATCTAATCAGCATACAGAGGGTATTTTGGTAGCAATGAGCAATAAAAGACTAAATGTACATCTGTGAGATATTTCTAATTTTTTCTCACTCATCAATACCTGTCGATCAGGTGGTTCTAATCACGATGCCGGATACCTCAAATATTCATCCAAGTTCGTAAGTGTGTTTAAATTGCAATTCAGATACATAGCAGATATATGTTACAGACAATATACCGACAAAATATTTTATGGATTATCAATAAGTAATACCCAAACATAATACACGTCAGTGATCATTGCAAATTCGTACGTGTACTTTTTTGAACCTAATAATCTCAGATGTTAAGTTGCCCCAGTGTCGGCAAATAATGCACGACGTGGAATTCTCTGGGACGACATTCGTAAAACATGTGAATCGATCTCATCACTCACGCCACCACCAGCACTTATGCAGCTATCTAGATACACGAACTTCTCGACTACTTCTATCTGCTCACCACCCAGAATCCTGCCAGTCTCGCAGAAGTACTTTGCACTTCGAAGGTGCAAAGCACATACCGTACCTACGGACACTGATTGCCAACTGATTAAGTGCGGATTGCATGGCTTGGGCATTGTCGCACAGTGAGACAATATCATCCGCATACTCAAGGTCGAGAAGTCTTTCTCCAGGCAACAGATCCACACCGCCGTTTGTGGTCAAACTCACGGTCACCCGGAGTAGACCGACGGGCTTCGATGAGTTGTAAGGAGCCTGAAGAAACCCAGTGCTTATAAGCAGGACGTTTCGCGAAGCCGCAAGCGGTTTTACTCGATATTTAGTGCTGGCCAGAAACAGGTTGTAGTTTGTGCACAGTTGCAGTAGACGGTCCTCGTTATCTGTCCTGCGACCAACAAGTCCCTGTCGGCCACCTAAACGACTCTCCTCTGTGCCTAGACATCCGACCTAAGCATTCAAGTCTCCAGCTAGTACTATAATATCTGTCGAACGCACTTTCTGGAGAAGAACAGTTAACTGGTGGTAAAATTCATCCTTGATTGCATCCAGGCTGCAATCTGTCGAGGCATAGGCGGAGATGACGAAAAGACATCGTTTCTCGCGCCGATTTCTTCTCACTTTGATGGAACTTTCTAATCTAATAGCACATAACCGACTGTTAATGGGGATCCAGTCGACTAGTGCTGCCTCAGCTCTAGCGCTTAGTGCGACACCGACGCCGTCATGAACAGACGAAGATGCCACAGGGTCCCCGGATAAACGCACGTAAAACAAGCCTTTTGAAGCGACAGATGGAGAGCGAATTTGTAGTACTTCACCAGTCTTGAATACGGGTCTCGGATAGACAACAGACGTCGATATTAAGACTTTCTAAAGACATAGCCAACCCTATCTGTTGTCCGATCTGCATTAGTGTGCGAACGTCGAAGGAAGCCTGTTTGAATGGTGCACATGGTTTCCGAAAAGCTGTTTCATGTTATATCTCGAAGGTTGAATACTTGATATAACGCGTATAACTGAACACAAGAACGGCAAAACCCTTCCAAGTCGCAAGGAGAAGACAGAAGACTAGTGAAAGGAATGTTATTCGAAACAGTGTCAATTATGGGTGCAAATTTTCAGGTATTTATAGTTTTTAGTAAGAACAAAAATCATCATTATAGTCCTCCAATCTGCATACAGAGGGTTATTAGCCTTGTCCAATCGGGAAGCTACACGTAGGAATTCTAGAATATTCTTCCCAACAGTGATTGGATGGAATATCTTCGGCTCCTTCTGAGCCTCTTATAGCTTCCTCGAGTTTACCCGTGATCCGTCGTCACATTTCAGTATTTGTATTTGGTGGTAGCATTCAATTTTCAACCAGTCAGCGACTCGAGATCGTTTAGATAGAACCGAGTTTCCACCATAGTCGAGCTTCTGTATAAGTCAAAATATAAGAATAGACAGAGTATGGATAAAAGAGAGTGAATAAATGACGTAGTAAATAATAATAATAATAATAATAATAATAATAATAATAATAATAATAATAATAATAATAATAATAATAATGCGAGTCATTTCATTGTTAATCGGAGCGAAAAGAATGTTTTCCATAAGTAGATAGTTCATCATGTTTTTGTGTGTGGGCTGAGATACTTCCCGGATGCCCAGACCGAAGCAGGTGGTTTTCTTAGGTGGCGTAGTATATAAAAAAAATAAAAATGAATGTTATCAAATGGATATGAGTTGTCTGAATTTTAATCCCCCATATCCTCCAACCGGGATAAAACCCCGGACATTCGCTTTTTGTCCTCCCAATTTCGTAAGCAACACCCCTGGTGTGAGAAAGCAGTGAGTAGGACTTCCCTGGCAGAGGCTGACTCTAGTTATATGTGAACAATGATTAGTCAAATTCAGTTCTAAACATCGTGTACGGGAAACACATTGCATACTCCTGGGGTACCTGCTTCGGTTTGGGCACCCGGGCAGTATCACAGCCCTCACACAAATCAATTGAGATTTGTGTGGCGCATATGTATTTGGTGCCTCCCTGTACCTATACTTATGTGTTAAAATAAATAAAATAATAAACTCCTGGGGTTGCCTCTAATGCCCTGATGCAACCGAGAATGGGAAGAGTCAGCTCACCCTCTTCAAGTGCTCTCACATAGCAACATGCACACAACCACTTCCCGTGAATCCAACTCCCTGCCTTATTGCGGCAGAGGTGTTGTTTTCGAAATTGAAAGGACGAAAAATGAATGCCCAGCACTTTAACCGGGTCGATGAATACAGTGGGTTCACCTAAGGGAGTTGGAAAACCCTGATTCCTAACCAACGGTGAACATGGACTCTAGGATACTGAGGGAACAAATGGCGTATGAACCAATTGTTGGCCACCGGCTACCATGGTACTTCATCTCCTTAGGTTGCTCTACTGCCTTGTGGGTCAGACCTTTAGGTCAAAGGCTACGGGTGTGGCCCCCTAAGAAAACCACCTGCTTCGGTCTGGGCACTCGTGCAGTATCCCAGCCCCTACACAAATCGAAATTAGGATGGTGGCTCAATTATTAGAACATTTGACTGCTGCTAAGTTGGCCGTTTAAACCCGAGCCTACCTACTTTAGCTTTTCGCAACTAAGTGGCACCACTAGCCTTTATACATTTAGACTGTGATTTGAAGCCAAGTCCACAAATCTTTACCCAGCAACTGAGTATGCATAAAGATGTAAATGGAGTTGATATTTGATAAGTAGTTTTCGTTAAACGACTGTTTCACTCGAGTTTTGAGAATTCACGTCAACTGGGTTCACTGATGATGACTCCACGTACAAGATCCAATCTCAAACGTTCAATTCTCGCGATCGTTTGTTTATTCTCTGTGCACTGTTTTATGAATATCAATTTCAAAATTTGAAATTTAGAACAACATATGTAATCGAACAATATTGTTTTCTATTAGATCCTCATCAGGCTTTACTATAATATACAGTAATATTTATGTGCATATACGAAATTATTAAACTACCTTGATTGGTTTAATAATTTCGTATATGCATATAAATATTACTGTATATTATAGTAAAGCCTGATGAGGATCTAATCGAAAACAATATTGTTCGCTTATATATGTTGTTCTCGATATGAATTTGTTCAGTTCTTATAATTTTTATATCTTTCGTTTCTTGGAATGGATTTTATGTAGCACATGTGTCAGCACTCCCGTGTTATCAATTTGTTCCGCCGGATTGTTATTGGTCTCGAGAAGAAGGCTGGTCAACATTTTCACTTAAGTCTCAGTATAACCGATTTGGATTACCTAATTATTTTTGGAGTCTAACTAATGTTAACAAAAATTTTGAGGTTAGTTATATAAAATTTAGGGTTAACATAGGAAATGAAACTGTATTTACAATCAAAATCTCTGTTTTACAATTATCAGAATTATTATTCTTAGTTCTTTTAGTAACCAGACTTGCGATGGGACAATAATTGATAATTGTGAGTCACACTAAATACATGAGAAACGTACAAAGTACAGGCCAATCACAAAGAGTAAAAACTGGTCACATGAAGTGAATTTAGCTATGAGTTTTTATTATTTGTTGTCACTGATTTAATACAATTCCCAAATCTATTTCACTACTAACATTGTACCGAGTCATTAACTCGTATGCATTAAAGTCATTAATTATCTTAAATCATTCTAACGAAAATAAACGAGATTACGGATTTTTTGTACTGCAAATGTAGGATACAAAAATATTAATAAGTCAACAAAATCAATGCATAAATCTCATGCTTAGTTATTCCTCATTGTATCAGTCAGAAAAGTATTTGGAATAGATTCTGTAGTCGAATATTTTATACGTTCTGTCCAGTAAAGTCGCTTAACTACTTTCTGAATAGAAAATCACATCTATCGCGCACGTGTGTGTTTGGTGGGAGAGAGATGATCTCGGAATAAAAACAATATTATCGTTGATTTACAGCATAATAATTGAGTCAATTAATCATCAACTTTCAGTTCATGAATTTAGATCACATCTTTATGTATCTAGTTCTAAACGATTACACATAATATCATTAGCCCGTTATATAACAGATTGAACTGTCAACTTATTACTTTGCCCTGTATGTGAAGTTACCAAAATACATATGATGCTTGGAATCAGGCTAAATGAAGTAAAGGAATATAATATTCAACCGAATAAAGAAACTCCAAATGTTTTTTGATTAGACTATTGATCAATATTTTTGTTGTCTAACCCGTAAGCTGATAAATATTTTATTTTCAAATCTTAACTTTTTGTTTAACACAACAACGCATTTGCCTAGTACTAACATATTATATAATATGGACTACTATTCTGAGCATTTAAATATTTAAGATCTACCTTAGATTGTCCCGTGGTCCGTCGTCACAGGTTCTACAAGATTATCATAATCTATAATTAGTATCTTAAGTGTTACTTGTTTATCAAGTACAGTTTTCTGTAGGTCGAGTCACATTATGTAAAAGGCTACTGTACTACTATTCGGGTGCCTTAAACTCAGGCGAATCTGTGTTTAAACTCTGCAATCTACTGGTTGAAGTGATTCTCTGTATGATGTCTACCAACCTGCAGACTTAAGGTGACAGTAGCAGTGGCGCAGATTCATCCATTCTTCGTCTTTCCTTTGTGTTCAGAGTTTGATCACGTTAAATCTCAACAATAAACATTAGGGTATTGAAGTTTCCGGCTGGTCTACAGTAACTTCTATTTATGAACGATTGAGGCTTCTTTTAATACAACGCAACGAATATTGACTCAAACACACTGGTCATTCTATACACATCAATACTCCAACAATAATAATCCATACGCTTATAGAGAAGACGAGACCCTTAGCATCATTTTATATTCTGTACCAAAGTTACGAAAATGAAAACTAACAACTCTGTTTTTATAGCAACATTCAATAACTTTGGGGTGCACAGCAAAGTTAGCAAATAAAAAGTGACGACAATTGATCAGGATGGGAGAAACATTCAGACAATTGAATGTAAGGTCAAAGGAACACAAACAGTGTTCGAAAAATGTTCCCAAATCCTCGGTTGACTTAAAGAAACTCGAGAATAAGTTTGCGATAGTGTTACATGCGTTGTAAACAGGACACAAGATTAATCTTGAGGAGACCAAAGCACTTCAGAAAGGTTTTAAAAGAAAGATTGACAGAAGAAGCGTTGTATATTTGGGCGAACAAGAACAGTGTGAACCGAAAGAATGGCATTCAACTACCGACTATTTGACGAATATTCGTGGACAAGTAATTGGACCCTTTATTTATTCAACCTGTTTATTTCACATTCATCGTTATTCTGATAAACAATTTCAACATTCAACTTGCACTTTTATTTTTCCTTCATATAAAAACCTATTAACACCGAATGTCATTCATTAATAACTAAATTTTACACGTACATACATACATACACACCCGGACAATTCGTTTCAGTCATTTATTTTCACGTGAACTTCTCACATGATTCGCGTTTAACTTATTCATGTTATCCTATTTACTAAGAAGACTAGACAAATTAGCAGGATGAAACGTTGGAATTATTTAAATTCCAATCGCCGAGATCATTTCAAATATGATTTTCACATTGGTTTAATACTTTGTACAGAAACATACATATTACTTAGTCCACTCTATTGAAACTATCGACTGCTCACACTGCAACACTAATGTATCTGTTGATTAGAGGTATGGCATAAAAGAACATAACATTGGAATGTATAGATCACACATCTCCTACCCTTTTTTAAACAAAGTGAATCATGTAAACTCAGTGGTTGTAGGTTTTTCAATATTTCTTAAATATCTTAAAAATAGTAAAAAGTCTGTTGGTATATACCCTAGCAGTATCGTCACTCAACACCTCGGACTGTAGGCGTTCTTACTTCAACCTCATTATCGAATTTGTCGATTGTGTCGACTCACCAAAGCTATACTTGCTGGAGCACTGGCTTCTTGATGTCCTATCACACCAGGCAGCAGTAAAACCATAAACAATAGGTTTCAGATCTAATGTTGAAGTAGTACGGTTCATACCCAAACACTTGTTCGCCCATATATACAGCGCTTCTGCTGTCAATCTTTCCCTATGGTTGTTAAAACCTTTCTGAAGTATTTTGGCCCCTTCAAAATTAATCTTGTGTCCTGTTTCTAACGCATGTAACGCTATCGCCGATTTATTCTCTAGCTTCTTCAGATCAACCGAGGATTTGGGAACATTTTTCAAACATTGTTTGTGTTCCTTCAACCTTACATTCAATTGTCTAGATGTTTCTCCAACATAGGCAGCGTTACAATTATGACAGTTGATCTCATACACTACATTCTGTTGTTCTTCCTTTGGTAATATGTCTTTGACTTTCACTAATGTCGATCTTAAGGTGTTAGTCGCCCTAAAATACACTCTTATATCATGTTTGTTCAGGATCCTTTTTATTTCTTCTGATGTTTCACTACGGTATGGTATGATTACGGTGTACTTCCACTCTTTTCGTATACCTTCTAGTTTCGTTTTTCTCCCATTTTTAATAATCTTCTTTAAAAACTCTTTTGGGTAGTTGTTATCCCTAAGAGTAGATAATACTTTATTTAATTCAGTTCGTTGATCTTCCTTATCTGTGACAAGCTTTGTGCTTCTGTTCATTAAATTTTTTACTACGTTAATTTTCGTGCATTGTGCATGTGCTGAATCAAAATCTAAGTATCTCTCCGTGTGTGTCGGTTTCCTGTAAACATTTATTTTCAACTTTTTATTATTGTGTCGGCGTTCGATTAAACAATCTAGAAATGCTAGTTTGCGGTCCTCTGATTCTAGTTCCTTCGTCAACTTGATGTTTTTTGACATACTGTTTATATTGTTAAATAATTCTTCTAAACTATCCCGTTTATTGATGATAAATATATCGTCTACATATCGTAGCCATAACTTTGGTTGATATATATTTCTTGTGATTGCACTAGTTTCTAGGGAATGCATGAATAAATTCGCTACAATCGGAGAAACTGGTGATCCCATTGCTATCCCCTCTCTCTGCCTGTAAAGGTGACCTCGAAAAATGAATAAGGTAGATCTTAAACATAATTCTAAACATTTGATAACTTCCGATGGATCTAATGGGCATCTTAAATTCAAATCTAAATCAGATTCTAAACAATCATTGATAAAATCCAAGGCTTTATTAATCGGTACATTAGTGAATAGAGAAGACACATCAAAACTTGCCATTATTTCATCATCTTCTATATCGATGGTATCAATCAAGTTCCTGAATTCCATAGAGTTTTTAATTCCATGTTTAATCAGTTTTTCATACAATCGAGCCAGCCCTGAATGTACTACCGAATGAAACGGCGAATGAATTGAGGAGTAAAATTATGAGTACATTAATACGTCAGAAACATCAAAATCCTAACATAAACAAAAATGAATTTTAGGCTTTAAAACAATTGAGAGAAGACAAAGCAATCATAATTACGAGAGCGGACAAAGGCAACACTACAGTAATTATGAATAAAACAGAGTATGAGAAAAAAGTCAAGGAACATCTAACAGAAGGTCCATATGAAGAAATTAATGATACCAAAAGTAGAACAACACTTAATAAACTCAAGGCGGAAACCAGCAAGCTCTTACAGTCATTAAAGATGAAGCTTGGATCGTCCTTATGGTTTAAATTATATCCGAAGAGTGGTAACCCATGCAGATTTTATGGACTACCAAAAATTCATAAGAAGAATACTCCAATAAGACCAGTAGTAGATTTTACGAATACACCGACTTACAATCTAGCCAAATATTTAGCTAAAATTCTCAAACCGTATGAAAAACTGATTAAACATGGAATTAAAAACTCTATGGAATTCAGGAACTTGATTGATACCATCGATATAGAAGATGATGAAATAATGGCAAGTTTTGATGTGTCTTCTCTATTCACTAATGTACCGATTAATAAAGCCTTGGATTTTATCAATGATTGTTTAGAATCTGATTTAGATTTGAATTTAAGATGCCCATTAGATCCATCGGAAGTTATCAAATGTTTAGAATTATGTTTAAGATCTACCTTATTCATTTTTCGAGGTCACCTTTACAGGCAGAGAGAGGGGATAGCAATGGGATCACCAGTTTCTCCGATTGTAGCGAATTTATTCATGCATTCCCTAGAAACTAGTGCAATCACAAGAAATATATATCAACCAAAGTTATGGCTACGATATGTAGACGATATATTTATCATCAATAAACGGGATAGTTTAGAAGAATTATTTAACAATATAAACAGTATGTCAAAAAACATCAAGTTGACGAAGGAACTAGAATCAGAGGACCGCAAACTAGCATTTCTAGATTGTTTAATCGAACGCCGACACAATAATAAAAAGTTGAAAATAAATGTTTACAGGAAACCGACACACACGGAGAGATACTTAGATTTTGATTCAGCACATGCACAATGCACGAAAATTAACGTAGTAAAAAATTTAATGAACAGAAGCACAAAGCTTGTCACAGATAAGGAAGATCAACGAACTGAATTAAATAAAGTATTATCTACTCTTAGGGATAACAACTACCCAAAAGAGTTTTTAAAGAAGATTATTAAAAATGGGAGAAAAACGAAACTAGAAGGTATACGAAAAGAGTGGAAGTACACCGTAATCATACCATACCGTAGTGAAACATCAGAAGAAATAAAAAGGATCCTGAACAAACATGATATAAGAGTGTATTTTAGGGCGACTAACACCTTAAGATCGACATTAGTGAAAGTCAAAGACATATTACCAAAGGAAGAACAACAGAATGTAGTGTATGAGATCAACTGTCATAATTGTAACGCTGCCTATGTTGGAGAAACATCTAGACAATTGAATGTAAGGTTGAAGGAACACAAACAATGTTTGAAAAATGTTCCCAAATCCTCGGTTGATCTGAAGAAGCTAGAGAATAAATCGGCGATAGCGTTACATGCGTTAGAAACAGGACACAAGATTAATTTTGAAGGGGCCAAAATACTTCAGAAAGGTTTTAACAACCATAGGGAAAGATTGACAGCAGAAGCGCTGTATATATGGGCGAACAAGAACAGCCTGAACCGAAAAGATGGTATTCAACTGGCGAATACCTGGCAAATATCGTTGGACAAGTAATTGAACCCTATCTTTTATTTTATTTTCAACCTGTTTATGTCAAATGCATCGTTATCGCTGACTGAAAATTCAATAAGGCTTTAGCAATACAATTATGTATCATTTGTACTCTTAAATATTGACATGTACATCGATGATTCATTAACAAGTATTTAACCTTGAACTTTTAGTTATTTTCTTAACTTTCCGTACATAACATAATAACACAGAATATCAATAATTAATCTAACACATACATACATACGTACACACTCACACACACACACTAGATGTTGTTACAGGTAATTATTTCCATGTAGTTGAATCTTTTTCAAATGGAATTGGAGTTAACTGACTCATTATATCCCATGTTACAAAAAAATCAACTTCCAAATTTGATTGGTTTAACAAAGTACAGTTATGATTGTTAAAAAGCTATATAATTCTTTGATGATTTTGATTTTGATTATTACCCTGAAGAAGTCCAGACAAGTTAGCTGGACGAAACGTTGGAATTATTTAAAAAATTTCAATCGCTGAGATTATTTCAAATATAATTTATAATGACTTCTTTATACTCGGCGCCCAATATCTGTCAAACTATTCGTTCTAATCTTGACGAATATTCGTATAAATAGTTTATAAAGTAACCGAAAGCTTATGATAAACGGAATACATATACATAGTGATCTAGTTGGTTAGCAATTATACTATAACTGTAATCCATAAAATATTTCTGTACGTTATCATTTCTCCAATCTTCGTTTCGGTATGTCAATACAGATATGTGATACTTATCCACCCGTATTATATGTTCCAAGTATGGTGTCAAAGAATATTTTGTATGGAAGTTCACGTTTTCGCAGTCGTGGCCGATTTCCTGTCTTAACTTACTTACATCCAAATGGAAAGGTTAGTTAGTCTTGTTTGTTTGCTTCCTTCTTTTTGTTTTAAACAATGTTTTTTTGTTCGTCACAGTTATTCCCCACTCTCCCATCATGAGAATTTATGTCTAGTGTCGGGTCATGTATTCATTGATGACCTGTAGAGTTATGTAAGCCTACATATAACTCCACTAACTATTGTACAGAGTACTTGGTGTAAACCAAAAATCGTTCGTTAAAGCTTATTATTCGATAAAATCAGATATTTTAAAGCCATTCATTTAAGCTGTTCAAGATAGTGGATGTTGACCTGTTAAAAGTGATCAGTCCAAATAGTGCAATAGAATTTTTGATGGTGGAACCTTTCCGTCCTTAAATTTGAATTAATTATTTTTTTTTTCCTAACCGACAGGTGGTTCTTCATAGTTTCAAGTCTTATAGTGTATCGTAGTTGTATTAGGTGTACACGTTGCTTCTGGTGCCGCTATATTTTTAGAGGTTCTTTAATTAGGACAGTAAAGGTTTCCAATATTCCCCTATTTTTTAAAATTTTTCCATATAGTTTAAACCCTTGACGATAGCAATAACCACAAACTACTCAACTGGACAATTTTTTTATAAATCGTATGGCTCCATAGCAGCCTTACTTGTGACCATTTATATGAACGCAAATAATTTTTTTAAATAGCTGTACACTGATTCAACGTCGTTCATGTGAACCTCCGTTGTCGGATCAACAAAATATATCGACCTCAAGTAATTTGTGGGCAAGGTGAATTGGTATTGTCTGTCACTATATTAATTTATGCCTCAGAATGTGAGTATGGAAAATGTATACACTTGTAACATAAAGTAGCGGGGTTGAAATTGTGTAGAAAATAAATAGGGTCAAATGTGGTTGTTTGGATAAACAGTCCAGGTTGGATGAATATTCGGGCCTTCTTTGCTATTGAGGGCAGAGGGATTTAGCTTCGGCTACTCGCCTCACTTTTATAGTTGGAAAAGCCTCTTCGAATTAGTTTGATATTTCTAATATCAGTTCGGTGATTATTGGAAATAACATGTACTGCTATTACTGATTTAACTCGTAAAATTTTAAATTCTACAGGATTATTAGAAAGTCTTTTTGTGTAACTTGAATGTTCCTTGACACGAGTTGAGATCTCACGGACAAACTCTATTATGTAGAACGCATCATGATCAGATATGTAAATGACACATTTGTCATTATCAAAATGATTCTCGGGAAATTTTCCAAATACATAAACACGTTCTCAGAACACATCAAACTCACTTTCGAAAAGGAAGATGAACATAGTGAACTACCATTCTTAAACTGTTTAGTTAAAAAGAATTCTAATTGTAGTCTAAATCTAGCCATATACCGAAAACCAACCCATTCAAACAGTTATATTGATTTTAACTCTACACCCATTCAGTGAGAAAATGCCTCTAGCCCTGAATCTACGTTTTATGAATGATTCTCCATTTCCTTATCATGTACTTACATTAATATACTTATGTGACAGAATAAATCAAACTGAACGTACAATGAATTCTACCTTATCAACCAAAAGCATAAATTTTTTAAAAAAAATCTAAATCCCCGTAATTATAAAATACACTCAAGTGATTAGCAGATGTACATAGCTTTGAGCTATATACTTCAGTTTTGTTTAGGGCGAACAATACTACCCGGTTATCTAAACCAAAGTGTGTTGGACGGATTTCGAACTTTGCATATACGAGTTTAAAAACAAGTAAGTTACTCTAATCAATCAGTTCGCCGTTCCACCAATCTATATTCAACAGTCTGATTGTTCAGTTTTCACTTTTTTTCATCTGAATGCATACAACCGTATCTAGTCAGCTTTATGCCGAAGTAGTCAACCATTAGCAGGTTTTTCATCGAAATCAACCGAAGACCAAATACTTTTAGAAGCTATACGTAATTCAAATCCCGATTCGAATATATTATATGTTGTTGATACGCGACCAGCAATTAATGCCTTTACTAATCGTGCACAAGGCAAAGGTTATGAAGATACAAATGTTTATCGTAATGCTGTCATACAATTTTTTGATATTGAAAATATCCATGTTGTTCGTTCATCGTTAGAAAAATTATTAAAAGGTATGTGTACTGTTAAACGCTTGCCTTGTATATTGTGCTTCTGTATGACGTAATAACATTTGTTTCACTATTGACATATGTCATCATATTGGACTATAAACTGTTGCTGTGGCAACCGCCTATATATCCTGTGTTGTGCCATAATGTTAGGTAACTGTAAGTTATCCCCTTCGTGCTGTTTCAATCTCACCAACAAGTCACGTGATGCAAAGCTGCATTCTTCCAAGTTTGCAGATACACCCTAGTGAAGAACGCATATTAGTGATAGTATTAATCTGTAGTCAAAGAATGGTTTAGGTAGGCTTGTATATATTGTTCCTTTTGTAATTAACTGTACTATTTTGCGTTTTTCGTATTAATTATATTCATGGGTTCAAAAAAGATTGTGTTGGCTATATATATATATATATATATATATATATATATATATATATATATATATATATATATATATATATATATATATATATATATATATATATATATATATATTAGCTACATCATTACAAGTCAGTCAGAATATAAGTGATTGGATGAAATGAATGGGAATAGAGTGAAGACTTAATTATCAGGCTCAATTCTTGTTCAAGTTATTAAACTTTACATGAAAATCCTTGTTGCCATCTTTATGCTTTCAAACGTAAGACATTTTAAAACAAAAACAAAGCCAACTATTCTGACTGACCGTTGTTGCTACCTTGACGTGGTGGTCGGGCTTGCCTATCGTGATGAAGCAACTGAACTATACTGGCTGGAACAACCGTTCCTCAAGGTCCTACCATGCCAGACAGGTCGGTTGAAGAGCGGTAAGACTAAAAGCAACAAAACCAAGGTCCGAAGGCGAAGTCGTACTGCTGACTGTACAGAGGTGTGACAGCAGTAAGGTGTTTCCTTCAGACAACCAGCATGACAGCGATGCTGCCTTCCCACAAGGAGGGGTGGGGTTAGAAAAGGTCGACCCTAAAAATGCACACCTCGCCTTATCCCACGGATATCCGTCTCCGGCGGTAAGGACTCAACAAGTACGGAGCTAACACAAAAATCACTCATAAAAAGGTCGTGTGTGACCGACCTCAAGTAGCTGTCCCTTGGGCACTGCGGTCACGCTCTCAGGTCACAATGACCAACTCTAATCCAATTTCCTTTTCAGGTACCTCCAGAAGAACCCTTCCACGGTGTGGGCAACCGGGAAGTGATAACCGCCCTCATACCTCTAACAGCACTCAAGACCACTGTATTCATAGTCAACCTCCCTCTTCAATTCCTATTATTCCTCCTACATCGACTTTATACACTAAACTTCCTCTTTTAGCTTCCTCCTCAAGTGTCACCACAGCCAACGATTCTAGTGCTCAAAACACTGTCCCAGGTCTACTGAAACCTCGCTCCAAACTATACATTGGAGCCTTCAACGTACGCACACTATGCCAAATCGGTCAGCAGGCTTCCTTGGCTAAAACCTTAGAATCTCGTACCATTGATGTATGCTGTGTCTCCGAAACACGCATACAGGATCCTAGTGTGGTCATTCACCTGACCTCACCTCGGCAAAACGGAGAGCCAACGAGATACACCCTCCGTGTATCTGGCGACCCGATGGCTAGTTCTCGTGGACTGGCAGGTGTAGGTGTAGCAAGCCCATTCCATTAATGTATTATTTGTCTACACAACTGTGTTAATTTCCATATGAGTATGATTGAGCGTGTGTCTGCACTTCTATCCCTATTCTATTCCCCATTGGTTGTGACACATAGATAATCAATAATTTATCTACACTTGATTGATACTCATAAATATATACATGGATCTTTTAACACAGACACACACCAGACTTTGATTTTTGACTCACTCGGTGCTTGCTTGCTGTATGCTTGCGGACTTTACCAGGCTTTCACAATAAACTATCTCTATAACTGATTTTTGGGCTTTTTAATGATCTCGAGTAAATCGATAATTCTACTAGGAGATTAAGCCTGTATTAAATACTCGGTTAATGAGATATCTTTATTTGGAGTCGAATATAGAGGAAATTTATCTCAACAAACTTGGTTAACCTCTACAAACTGGTGAGCCGCATTTAGAACACGCGCCTGTTTCTCTACAAAATCTGCTGCATATTCTCCAATCATAAAGAACTTCATATTGGAATTACTATTGCAATTATTAACAATACATTGACAGTCAGTAAATTCATCTATAAAATTGTTGCTTTGGAATTATTACTTTATATTTGCCTATTTAAACTCAAAGTGACCTTTGTTTTCGGTGAGTCTCATATATATTTCTTGTTGTTATTTTCGACTTATTCATATCATATATTTCAATCCTCAGCTTATTATTATTGCTATTGTTATTATTTCTTCGTATCATGTCACTTGATAATTCACCAAGCCTTTCATCTAAGTCTATTTCCGTGGGTGCCATCTCTGTACCTTTACCTGTCTTTAATCCCCGAAAGGCCGAACTGTGGTTTGCACGCTTAGAAAGCTTTTTTGTTGCAAACAGAATCACAAATCAGAACACAAAATTTAGTTATGCAAACTCATTGCTGCCAGACGATGTTATAGAACAAGTGTCTGACGTCATTTTTAAACCGGATCCAGACTCACCATACGATTGTCTAAAAAGAGAGGTCATTCGTGTTACATCACTCACCGACCAGCAAACAATTGATCAACTTTTAGCTAATGTAGAGCTAGGTGACAGTACACCATCTCAATTGAAACGCCGCATGACAAATTTATTGGGGAATCGTACAGTAGATAAACGTCTATTGTATCAACTGTGGCTCAGACGTCTACCACAAAACATCCAACAGATACTAGCAATCGGAGACGAGGATATCGATTTTGATAGGCTAGCAGATATAGCCGATAGAATTTACGAGCGAACTAGGACGCACTCCGTATCTCACATACAATCAAACTCATCTGACGAGATCGCCGAGTTGCGACGAACAGTCGAAGTCCTCGCTAATCAGATAGCTCAGCTCCAATTTTTGAATACCTCCCACAGCAAGCGGAAAGGAAGGTCCAGAAGCCGTAAAAGTCGTAGTCCAAGCACCACTCGACATAACATTTGTTGGTACCATAAAACGTACGGTAAGCAAGCTAAAAAATGTACTCCTCCCTGTAATTTCGCAAGCACACAACAAAGAGACCATCATGAACGTCGGTTAATGACGACTGCAGTCGCTGAACACAACTCTCAAAGCAGTCGCTTGTTATATGTTACAGACAAAAGGACTGCAACACAGTTCTTAGTCGACACTGGGGCAGAGGTTAGTGTAGTACCACCCACTACACTTGAGAAAAACACACCTGACCCCAAACTAAAACTACAAGCCGCAAACAGATCTGAGATCAAGACGTACGGCAAAAGGCAGTTACAATTAAATTTCGGTCCTAAATCCAATTTTTCATGGAACTTCATCATAGCTGACGTCCTCATTCCTATAATCGGCATTGATTTTTTACAATCCCATAAAATACTCGTAGATGTAAGAAATCGGAAACTTGTCCTTGCTGACCATAGCAGCGAAATTAGAGGGATTATTTCTAACGAGACGTCCATACATTTATTGATCAAACCTCATCGCGAGAATGACAAGTACGTTAGTTTACTTAATCAGTTTCCAGACTTATTACGACCGAATTTCAAACGGGATAAACTGACACATACCGTCGTACATCATATAAAGACAGAGGGTCCACCAGTGTTCGCACGTCCAAGACGCCTTGACCCCTCTCGTTTGGCTCTAGCAAAGAACGAATTCAACAAAATGATAGAGTTGGGTATCATACGCCCCTCCGATAGTCCGTGGGCATCACCGCTCCATTTGGTACCCAAGAAAAACTCTTCCGAAGTTAGACCGTGCGGTGACTATAGAGCTCTCAACAGCCGTACTATACCAGACAGATATCCACTTCCACATTTGCATGACTTCACTCATAGTCTATCTGATGTGACGATTTTTTCAAAAGTTGATCTCGTCCGCGCTTACCATCACATTCCAATTCACCCGGACGACGTTCCCAAAACAGCCATTACTACCCCATTTGGATTATACGAATTTGTTCGCATGCCTTTCGGATTAAGGAATGCTGCACAAAGTTTCCAGCGTTTTATCGACCAAGTAGTACGTGGCTTACCTTTCGTATATACTTACATAGATGACCTTCTTATCGCAAGCAAAAATGAAAATGAACATCTAATTCATCTGAAAATGCTTTTTGAGAAGCTAAACGAGTATGGGTTAACAGTCAACCCTGACAAATGTGAGTTCGGAAAACAATCCCTCACCTTTTTAGGTCACGTAATTGATAGTCAAGGCATCAAACCAGTTCCTGAGGAAACACAAGCCATCAAAAATTATCCTTTACCAGATTCATTCAAGAAACTACGACGTTTCCTTGGGATGATCAACTTTTACAGACGTTTTATTCCGAAATGTGCAGACATAGCAAAACCGCTAACTGATTTATTAAGGGGACGAGCTAAATCATTGACAATGACACCGCAAGCAATTCAAGCATTTGAACAGTTAAAAAGCACATTAAGCACTGAGGCATTACTAGTACGTCGAAAGGTTGATGCACCTTTAGCAGTAATGACCGATGCCTCTAATGTAGCAGTAGGCGCTGTGCTTCAACAACATGTCGATCAACAATGGCAACCCCTTGCATTTTTCTCAAAAAAGCTAAACGCAACGCAAACAAAATATAGCACATTCGGTAGAGAACTGTTAGCTGTCTACCTAGCCATCAAACACTTTCGGTATATGTTAGAAGGCAATTCTTTTATGATATATACGGATCATAAACCTCTAACTAAGTCCTTGATGCACAATCATGATAAATACAGTCCGCGCGAAATTCGTCAACTAGAATTCATTTCGCAATTTGCAGCTGATATACGACACATAAAAGGCAATGCAAATGAGGCAGCAGATGCACTATCGAGATTAAGTATCAATACCTTCTCGATCCCTGATATAAACT